GGAGCTCCTCAGCTTTGAGAAGTATGTAAATGGTAGGTGTTGGACATCTTGATGATTTGAACTAAATTCAGATTATCGTCTATAGTTCTGCTGTTCCTCCTCACGTGAAATACAACGTGACTTAAACGGTGATGAATCGAGTTCTGTTGCAGAACTGAAGCAGTTTAGAGACAACAACGGCGGCTCTCCAGAGTACACCATCAACATGTGCTTCGGAGAGAAGTTCCCCGATGGAAAACCTTTGGAGAAGAAGCTCATCGTAGTCAAGGTAAACCTCCTTCCTGCTTGCATAATCTTCACACACACTCGGTATTTGCCTCTCTTTTAGTTGGGCCTTCGTTTTTTCCTTTATAAGAGCTGTAAAATGTGTCCCCTTGTCCATTCAGGTGGTCCCTCTGAATCTGTCGACACTACCATGAGATCGCCCAGATGGAAGGAGCCTCGTCTCTTCACAGCTCCAACGTCAGCCTACAGATTTACACAACAGCCTTTACGATCATTAGCTCGGGTCTTTGGACTGCCGACAGAGGAAGAGTCCGCACGGCCCGCAGCACCTTTACTACCTCAGTCCTGAATTTGGGCGTCTCATTTCCCCCCCCCGAAGGGGACTATTCCAACAACCCGCGCTTAGATTTGCTACAAAGTGAGCAGAATGAATTTGCTATTGCGTTAATGGGCCACGTTTATCGAGCGCTCATGGGGTTGTGTCACTTAAACTTAAAGGAAAAAAAGTTACATTATCTCACTACATAAATAAGTTAACTTCTCCACTATTGGACTGTTGCGTTACTGAACCAATGGCCTTAAATATGATTTCCTTATGTCATAACTGTAAATATCAAATCATCTATTAATAAGCGTAGGTTCAATTAACGTATAATTGCCTAACATGTTTATCGTGCGGTAAAACATGTAACGTTTTTGCTTTTGATCGTGCGTTTATGAGCCGTTTAAAAGTTTAAATTAATATATAGTGTAACTTTTTTTATTAACTGAAATATATATGTATCTATATCCAGTTTGGTGAATTTGTTTTTGCTGTTTTTTTGTTATTTTACAAACAATAATAGACATTTGAATTGTATGACTAAAAGGTACCTTCAGTCTGTTGTGCGCAATGAGGGGAATAAAGGAATTGCTGGATACGGTTTATCTTCAGAAGTATCACTTCTCCAACTCCTTAAAACAAAATAGGACATTGAGCAGGTAAAGCATCAAACTGAGACGAAACCTTGTTTATATCCTCAGTGATTTACTCATATTTGTGTTTTCTCTTAGAACAGCTGACCTGTCTGATCAAGTAAATGCTGAAAAAAGTGAAACACATTCAGATAAACATGAGCACCCTGTTTTTGTAGATTCCTCTACCACTCATCTTTATAAAGCCGGCTTAAACGTGACAACAAAGAACAAGTCCGCCCGCCGCTTAACAAACTACTGGAGACAACAAAATGGTGGACATGCAAAATGAGTTGGCTTTAGGACGATGAATCCACAGTGAGAAGTACTGCAGGGCAAACAGAACGTATTCCTATAATACTGACAACTAAAAGGCCGTGTGGTGTTTTTCATATCGACCTTAAAGTGTTGCATATTCCTTTAAAAAAAAAAATCAGATTATATATTTTATCTCACAAAAGCGTGGCATTAACACTAATATATACATCAAATACAAAATAAAAAAACAACCCTGTAGTTTAAATGTTTGTGTACATGAGCACCAGGTAAGGCGGTGAAAAAATAAGAACATTATAATAATCTGACTGCAGCTCAGCCACTGAGACATGAAGTGTGTATTATTCCCTTTCTTGCACAAATAAAATCTACCCAATGAATTCTTGAGTGGTGATCCATTGAAGGAAATGTTACATTAATATCATCCTTCTCATTATTTCCATTTGTTAACGTGTTCGTTTATGCCTACCATCTTGAAAAATACACGACATTCCCTGGTTCTCTAAAACCAGTAAATTGCTGAAAAAACAGATACGATTCAAAAGGTTTGTTCTGAACATAAACGCATCTGCCTGAAAAGAAGAGACTGTTCCTTTCAAACTGCTGAGAAAGAGTTTGCCTGCAGTATGCTGGAGCAGATTCAGCTCATGGCCACGAGGGATGTCAACAGAGCCTTTAAAATACAAAACACAATCAACTATGAACTCAAATCATTTATGTCATTCGCAACAGGCAGAATGTCAGTAAACAGATGAAAGGAACAAAAGTTGAGATTATATATATATATATATATATAAATCTATAAATCAAATCTATATTATTTACAACCAAATCTAAAATTGAACAATTACCCTACTCATAAATGTTCTACAAAAATTGCATAACAGTGTTGTTTTTGAAGGATGTCTTTGATGTGCATCCTTCGCATTTCTCAGGTTTGCCACTGATAAATACTCCTTAATCCCACAGATAAAAAAACCGACACATGGAAGTCAAGCCCAGGCAGCATCCTCCCTGGTTCAGTGCTCCATGAGGGGGCTTTGAGGTTTGCCTCTTCAAGGCACAACCTCAAGGTCTCCCAGGAAGTCGCTGAGCCGGAGTGGGGCCGGTCAAGGCGCACTACGTCATCAGGCAGAGATCATGTGGTCAACGGAAACAAATTCAAAGTTTGTCCTCAAACTTCAGGATAGACAGCTCGACTTTACAGGAAGTGTTCCATATCGAAGCTTTGAGCAAATCTCAAGCAGCCGTCACAAGTGTGTTAGCCCGAGTTTGATGGTGGCAGGACACAAAGTGAAACATTTAGTGCTTGGAGCCGTCCTCGCCTTTCTGTTACGCCCCCTCATGGGCTGTCAGAGGTCCTCCCATCCTCGGCCTCCTGTGCCTGTCCCGAGTCCTCTCCTTTCCTGCGTTTCCTTGCGTGTTTGTATTTGTCCACGTATGCCTTGACCAGATTGCCCACCTTCACAGGGTTGATCTCCCCACTCTTGCTGTGGCACACCTGATGACCAGGAACACAACACAGTCGCACATGTCAATTCTGGTCCCGTTTTAAGTTGATCGGCGGTCGGCGACAAAACCACATGTGAACCCACCTTCTGGACGGCTTTGCGTAGGATCTCTTTGTACTCGTCCTTGTCGATGTCCCTCCTCTGGTAGAAAGGCTTGATGGCAAGCTTCACCTCTTCCACAGCTCGCTCCTGCATGTGCAGCTTCTTCAAATACTGACGGCAAAAGTAAAACAGCAAAATTAGCGGTTCTATTAATTAGTACGCTGGCTATTATTTAGCATGCTGTAGTGGGCGTAGGGACATTTATTTACAACCAAAGATTCGTTGACTGTTCAAAGCCTATGGATTCAAAAGCCGGGGTCACCTGGTCTTTCCTCGGCAAATCCCCTTCCTCCGCGTCTCCTTGCTCCCCTTCGGATGTCGAGGAGGAACTGAGCGGACCAACAGCAGTGGTCTTGGAGGGGTGTCTGGCAGCTCCGGGGATTTCCTGTTTAAGTAAATAGAGATTATAGGAATGAAGAGAGATTTTACATTTTATTTTAACATAATGTGGGAAAATGGTGAAGAATGGCCATTATAACTTCCCATTGTTGATCGGTGATAAGAGTGCATCCGGAAAGTATTCACAGCGCTTCACGATCTACACAATGTTATGTTGCAGCCTTATTTCAAACTGGAAAGACATGTTTCTTTCTTAAAAGTCTACACACCACCGCATAATGAAAGTGAAAAGGGGTTTGGGGAATTTTTTGCAAATCTATTAAAAACAAAACAGCGAGCCAAGGTGCATCCTGTTTCCACTGATCACCCCTGAGTGGTGAGTACACCCTGCTATATTCACCTGAGTGCATGTGATTGGGAAAGGCACACACAGACCTGTCTACACCAGGTCCCACAGGTGACCGTGCATGTCAGAGCACAAACCATCAAGCGCAGGGAATATTCTGTGGAGAAGGGCCTTAGTCTGGGAGGAGACCCAGAATGCAGCAATGCACATGGACATCCTCGATGAAAACCTGCCCCAGAGCGCTGTGGACCTCAGACTGGGGCGACGGTTCATCTTTCAACAGGACAGCAAACCGAAGCACAGCTAGGACAACAAAGGACAACTCTGAATGTCCGGATCGGAGCCCTGACTGAAAATGGCTGCGCAATGACTCTCCCCATCCGACCTGATGCAACTTGAGAGGTTCTGCAAAGAAGAATGGGAGGAACTTCCCAGAAACGGGTGTGCCAAGCTTGTGGCATCGTACTTTTGGAATAAGGCTGTAACATAACAAAATGTGAGACGCTGTGAATACTTTCCGGATGCACTGCATTTCAAAATACACATAGTCTCATTTTGTAGTCCAAAGCTTTGGCAGGAACGACAGAGGACTTAGTAGGGAATGTGTGATTAAATGTGTAGACAACTGTTTTCCATTGTAATTTTCAAAGAATACTTTACTTTTGTTGTCCGAAACTACTTCAGTATCGACCATGACGAAGCAAACTGTAGAGAGAACACATCTGCCTCCTCTGGATAAACACTGCCACCTTCTGGTCATTTAACCTCTTTGTACACTTGATGACGAAAAATACTAGTCTGCAGGAATGTTAGGCCGTCTCCGCGATAACGCAGGACTGCGTCCTACCTGACCGGAGGTCTGGACGGTTGAAGACGGTCTGCGAGCTCCTTCCTGCTTCAGCTTCAATTTGTACAGAGAAAGCTCTACGCAAGACAAAATCCAGAGAACGTCAAGATGAAGTTCTCCACAAGTTGAACGTGTGCGTCAGAAAGAATAAAAAGTGGAGCAATGAAGCGGCAACACTTACTGCTTGCAGATTTCTGTGGCTGAGGCCCCTCAGGCTCCTGTATGTTCCAGGTAACCCTTTTCACCTGAGCCTTAGCTTTTGCTCCCCCTGCAGCAGACACCGGTTCTTTCTTCTCCTCTCCGACCTCCCGCTTTTGTTTGACGCACGCGGCGCTTTCCCCTGCGCACTCAGACTTCACACGGACCAGGTTGTCCAGCATGACGTCCACGTTAAAGTCGTAGTCGTCTGAGGGATGCAGAACTTCCTGCTTCACAGGGAGAGACAGCCTAGAGGCGCCCGGTTGTCCCACGGGGGCCGTGGACTCTGCGTGAGACGCAGCGGCCGGCGCTTCCCGGGGAGCGTCTGCCGTGGTCGGGGCAGGGGACGAGGTGAAGTAGCACAACTCTGGGGAACCTGGCTCAGATTTAACGAAGGGGGCTTCACAGGTCTCCGTCTTGATTTCAAACATCTCCGTCTTAATGGGGTCTTCTCTGCTTCCCTCCTCGTCTACACTTTTAGCTGCGGTCGGACGACGAGCGTCGGGTTCTTCTTTCTTGATTTGTTGCGCAGGAGAGCTGTCTTCAAACATGTCAAGAGATTGTTGTTTTTCTTTCTTAATTTCTTTTTCAATCTTTATCTCTTTCACTATTTCCACGGTTGCGCTCAAGCCGTCTTTGTCTTTCTTTCTAATTTCAGTGGCGGCAGATCTCAGTTTAGTCGCTGCGGCAGCTTTGTCGTCTTTGAGGGAGCTTTGACTGACATCCTTGTCTTTTTTCTTGCCTTGTAAGAGTTTTGTGTCTTTAGAGGGACACAGGTGACCCTTCTTTCTTTTTCTCTCTTGAGCTTGATCTAGACCCGTGTCCCTTCCTCTCTCTTGACTGTGACTCCTTGTCTCTGGAGGAGAGGGACGATGGTTGCAGTTGCGTGTGGTCTTTCCTCCTTTCCCTCGATCGGGATCGGGATCTGGAGCAAGACCGTACATGTTTTTTTTCCTGTGACCTGGACCTGGACCGGCCGCGTCTCTTGTCCGTTGACACCCGTCTTCTGTCACAGTCTCTCTCTCGGTCATCAGAGCTCTCCTTGCTCTTTTGTTTTGGTTTCTTCTTCCTTGAACGCTCTTTGCTGCTGGAGCTGGAACCAGACCTGAAAAAAAACGCTTACTCCTCATAAAAAAAAAAGATCTCCGCAACAAACTGACAGCTACTAAACAGTTGACGCCATGAATATTGGAAACAGTGTTATGTACTTACCTAGATCGCCTCCTGTCTCTGGATCTGGACCGCCGTCTCTTCTTGCGAGTCTCATCTGGGGAATTCCACTGGGAACTTTCTGAAGTCGAGCGCGCCCTTCTCGTCGTCTCTCTGGAGCTCCGTTCTCTTTCCTTCTCCTTCCCTCTCAGTCGGCCTTCCTGGCCCGCGGCCCGATGGTCTGCTCTACCGTCTCTGTCCCTCTCTGAACTGCTACAGCGTATCTCCTTTGCAGCCCTGAAGGAATTCTTCTCGTGGCCTAAATCTTTTGACGCGGGAGAGGGTTTGGAATCTGACTTTGTTTCAAGCTTGAGGTTCTTCTCGGTGGGGGCGGCGCTCGGGGCTGATGAACTGCTCTCACAGTCAACACTTTGTCCACTCTCCTCCTCGAGGGCCTCTCTCTCAGTCTTTAAAGGACGCAGACTTTGATAAGCGGCTGTGGCGTCATCCGCTTTCTCTGACTTGAAACTTTTTCCGCTGCAACCAAACCTTTCATCTACTCCTGTGTCCACTAACCCGGGCTCAGTCTTCACTTTGGAAGTGGCGAGTAACGACGTTTGTTTCTCAGTCTTGATGTCTATTGATCTACGTTCTTTTTCTACCTTGACATTGTCCTCTGAGCATCTGGCCTTCTGCTGAGCACCCGTTCTTCTTGGTTCTTTCTGTGAGACGTCGACCTCCTGCCTTTCAGCTTTCACACTAACGAGGTCCCGCTCGCTTTTCACAAGTACCTTTTTATTGGCCAAACCGGGAGGCTTCCCTGAAGTGCGGGATGATGCGCGTGCACCTCCAGGGCTGCGCTCTCAGCTTCGCCACCTGAGCTGCTGGAGTCTGACAGTGTGGGATCAAAGGGATCATAGATGGTCTCACTGTCTGGCTCCTTACTGCCCAGCACGAGTGATGCCAGCAGCATATTTTTGTCCCTGTGCATCTGCCGCCTTTTTGCCTCATCTGCCTTTGCACTCCGAGGTGTCTGCGCACCGCCTCCAGCAGCCGCAGACGACGAGCTGCTCAGCTGCCTCGACTGCCAGGAGTTCCCACTGGAGTTAATGCGGAAGCTTACCGCCGACGATGACGAGGAAGGAAGGGAGTAACGCGGGTGGCTGGCAAAAGAGCCGCCGGGGGACCAAGAAGAAGAAGAGGAGGAGGAGAACGAGTTGGAGAAGGTTGAGGAGGAGCCGGATCCATCGGGCCGACCCTTTTGCCGGTTCACACTTTGCTGCCTCCCCTTGTCCCGAGCAAAGCTGGTAATGCCCATCTCTGGCACACGGTAACCATTACTACCGCTGGCAGAATTACTACCATTGCCTGTCCCGCCGCCGCCACTGCTGCTTTTATTGCTGCCGCCGTGGCTAGTGCCTTCCTGTGCGATGCCACTGCTCTCCCTTTTTATTTTTGGTATCCTGGGAAGCACTGACACATCTACCCACGCGGGCTTCGTAGTTGCTTTTTGAGGCTGGGACCGGGATAAGGCCCCTCCCTTACTCTTGGAGGCGGAGCTGAGCGCAGGGTGGATGGAGAAAGAGGGATCGGGCTCCTCAACGCCGACGTTTCTCCAGTGACCAGGAGGGCGTGTGGGTCCTAATGGACGAGGCGGCTGGAGCCTCGGATGACCTCTGGGTGGCAAGTCCGAATGGGAGGGTGGGTGGATGTGGCTGGCTGAGCAGGGCATCTGGGGGGGCAAGCGAGAAGAGCTCTGGGGGGTAGTTCTGTTCATAAACCTGTGGGAGGACCCCGCGAGGTCTCCGTTGGAGCTGGAAGACTGAGCAGCGTCTCCCTGGTTCGGCGACATCCCCGGGCTGAGCTGGGCGCCGGCGTCTCCTGAACTACTGCAACTTGGATTTAACGCGGACGGCATCGCTGTAACACAAGGAATTTAGAAAGGATCAACTCACTTAAAGAGTGGGAGGATTTCTGGCTTTTCTGCATTCCTCGTCAGATTATACTAATTTATATATTGCTCACAGAAATTATTCAGGAGTAACACGTCACAGTGTTACAGGGGATAACAATAAAAGAAGAGCAGCAGACTCAGGCAGTCAGTCAGCTGAGAGTGAGTGAGAAATAACTTAAATATTCCCTAACCTGACCTGCACAACCAAGCGCTTGGTTTTCCCTCATTATTCACTATTTATTGCATTCACATATAAATAGTTTGGAAATACCAACAACACATTTACAAAATATTTATAACACAATTATAAGCAACAGGATACAGCAATAATTTGATCAAATGAATTAGAAAAGGTACTAACTTTGGATTCTTTTCAGGCGAGCTTTGCAGGATGGCTCGGTTAGTATTATTAGTTTGATAATTTGATATTTCAAAAAGGAACAATTACGATGAAGTCGGATCTCTTGTCCTCTATTAGTCTCACAAACCACCAAGTGTCTTCAAACCAACAGCTATAACAAATGTAATTCAGTATTACTGATTAGATTTTGTGTTTAAAAATGTGCCACACACACACACACACAAACACACACACTTACTTGGGTTTATAGCTTTAAGGGTACCATCCCGATTAATAACGACATCAGAGCTGTCCATCAAGAGGACACTCTGTCCCGACAGGATGCTGCTCAGGAGGTCGGGTACAGGAGAAACCTCCACATCGCCCCCTGATTGGTGGATATTCATACCTCTGCTGGTAAAGCAGAGCAAACCTTTAATCGCGTTAATCCTATTCCACTTCCAATTACGATTCTGATTTGTAATAGTCTTTGGAATTGCTGTTTATTTTCTCAGTTTTAATGCTCATTATATTTGGTTCTTAACCTAAATGATTACACACTTAATCGTCTTAATCGACAAAGGACTTTTGTCTAAATCTGCTGAATGTAATGTCCTAAAAAGCAAGGTACTGTTTGATAAATGTTCTCTATGATGTGATGGACATTGTTTACAATCATTTCTGGGTCATCATTATAACTTCTATTGAGAAAACCCTAAATTATTATAACATGCTACAGTAAATTGTTGGTCACATTCGCCGTTGATTAAGCATCAACACATTAGCCCGCTATCTACAAATATGGAACATTCCCAAATAAGACCGGTTCTGGATAACCAACCCTTACACTTCCTGTTAAAGCTGATGTTACCTGGAAACACCTGCAGTGACTGGGCGAGCTACCGGCTGGTGGGAGCGAAGAGCGGAGCGAGAGATTCCTCGTCTCTTGGCCTCCAAGAGCGTTGTAACACGGGCCTGCTGTCCTTCCCCGTCGCTGTTCAAATCGATACTGTAAGACACCATTTGCTTTCAGATTAAAACTGTATGCTCAGCTGCACACAAAGGAGTTACTGGGATTGAGGATACTGTGTGTGAGTGCTACTAGCAGCCATCTCTATGCAGTACTTGCTCAATATGCAATATTAAAAACAATAGATATTAGAGTTTGCTATTTGGGTCAGCCCTTCAGGAATGCACAAGTCTTCTTACCGATCCACAAATGGATCCAGGTCGAATGGATCTCCATAGATGGAGAGGGATGCTGCACCTATGTCAGCGCGCATGCTGCTCAGCGTTTGCTCTGACGGCCGGTAGACTGTAGGAAGCGAAGAGTTCTTTGTGTCCTTTACAATTCTGAGATTACTGGCGATACGGCCCCGAGGGGTGGCAGCCTTTTGCAACATCTAGTGGGAGAAAAAAATGGGTATAGTGTTCGAGAGAGAAAAGCATCTCACAACTACAACATGCATAAAATGATTGGGTGTTATTAATTATTTATGGAAACTCATTATTAAAAATCCTTCTAATGCAACATTCATGGCTGACATTTACATGTTAAGATTCATTGAGTGAAACATTTAAAATCCAATTATGTGAACGGTCAACACGGGTCTTTGAGACACACTCACCAGATTTTTTCGGGATTTAGTGCTTCTCATTTTCCGTCTCCGCCTATGGACTCCTGTACCGGATTTACCCGTAGCAGAGGACGTCTTCCTCCTTCTTACCTTTCCTCTGCGCTTCCCTGTAAAGTCGTACAAGACGTCCCACCTTACAAACGTCTCTCGATTGTCTGTTTGTTCATGCGTGTGCATGTGATAACTATCAGAAAACAGTTGTGAATGTGTGCGTGTGGGACGACATACCGGTCTTGCGCCTGCTGATGGATGGGACACGAGGTGTCAAGTCCCGTATATACACGGCCGTGTTGAGCCCGGACACAACGGCATTGATAGTATCGTCCAGCCAATTGGACTGAATCAGATACGTGGGAGCCAGCTAGGAAGATAAACGTTTGCATCACTCAGCTAGTACGCTTTGACAAAACGTTGCTGCCTAAACGCAAGCACTTCAATCCCCAATCGAACTCAACAAATGTCCAAACCACATGTAACCATTTCTACTGTGAGCTACGCTAAAGTACATCACACAAACGCACAACTCAATGAGTCAGCCGATATTCAGCCCAAAAAATGCAGTGGAGGTTAGTTAGAAAGTAAGCCAACACCAAAGCGTGACGCCTCATGCCAAACCTGCGATGAGCGTGCCTGTGTGATGCGATGGCGATTGACGTTTGCTCGAACCCTCTCGCTCTGCTGAGTTCGGGCAATAGCTCTGGTGGGACCTGCAGCGGCGGACTGGGGGCGACTGGTGGCAGGGCGGGCAGTAGATGGCAGGCTCTCTGCATCACTCACATCATCAGCTGAAGCCCCTGAGGCAAAAATATTTTAACGTCTGACTTGTTGTCAACAAAGTGTTCTGTTTTTTTTCTACCACTTGTCAAAATAAATACCAAGTAGCGCAAACTATTTCTAAAACATGGCCCCTCTAATATAAGGAATCAGGAGATGCTAAGTATTGCGCTTTTTAATCGAGATGAAATGCACAAAGTGACAAATACAAAACAAAAAGCATAGTGAAGTGAATTAATTGAAATACATCATATATGGTAATTTGTGTCCAGTCTGTAAAGGACTAATAAGTGCAAAATATAGTTTGAGCTCTTTTTTTTTGCAAATAATTTAAAGTCGTACTTGAGTGACGATTGCTGGCTTCACATCCAGGGCAGAACCATTCCTCCACAGGAACAGAGTCAAGGGGGGGCGTGAGACATTCCATGTGATACCTGTGGAACAAAAAGGCATAACGAAATCACACAATAAAAGCTGACTAAGAGAGGGTTATTTAGGTTCATAATATTGAATAAAAGCTGACTAAGAGCGGGTTATTTAGGTGCATAATATTGAATAAAAGCTGACTAAGAGCGGGTTATTTAGGTGCATAATATTGAATAAAAGCTGACTAAGAGAGGGTTATTTAGGTTCAACATATCTGTCTCACCCAGCATCACAGCCATCGCAGAGCAAGAGACGGTCCTCGTGGTCACTCCCCCTACAGACTTCACATCTGGTCTGCTCCAGGTCCACATCGATTACTTCCTCTAGCCCTTCCTTCACGGGCTTTTGTACCGTGATCTAAAGGAAGAAAACAAACCGGCCACACAAAATGATGTTTATCGCTTGGACGGGTGTAACAAGAGTTTCAGGAGTGAAGCTACCAAGACTGAACGCACTCACCATTTTCTCCACCTTGCCTCCATAACATTTTCTTAGGTATATGCTATTGAAGGCAATGCGGTCTACGGGACAAGAGTTGGCATTCTGAAAAGCGGGTAAACAAAAGGAATCGAAATCAATCACTGAGCTTCCTTCACCACGGATGCTTCTTGAGTGCAGAGGATTTACTGCTAATCAAAAGACACAAGGTGCTTTCCAACAAAGGGCTTTCTCTTTGGGCCTGTTCGACATTATGTGGGACCCACCTTGGCCCATGCGAGGATGCAGTCGAGGCAGAAGTAGTGCTCGCAGCTCTCTGGTGTTGCAACAGGCTGGCTGCTGAATGAGTTAAGGCAGATGGGACACTTTTCTGCATCCTCATCCGAGCTCATCTCCGCAAGATCAATAGGGATTCCCCCAGAAGCTCCATCCTCGGCCTTAGTATCTCCCTCCTCGACGCCATCTGATGGAAGTGTTGAAATCCGTTGTGATTGTACTATACATACTATATTAAAAGAGGTTATTTCAGCACAAAGAAACATAATACAAAGAAGTGTTTTTAGCGTACTGCAGAAGGTTATTTTTCCACTTTCAACTCTACAGGAAAACAAAGGCTCTATACGCTACAACTTATGTGAGCGAAAATATGAGCATATCAAAACAAAGTGCATATTTTAATTATAGAAAAGACCGTATAACAATATTCGGCCATTTTGTAAAAAGTATGTCACTTTTACCATCTTCCACCTCGTCTTCCTCCTCCTCATCGTCGTCTTCTTCGTCATCCTCTCCATCTCGATGCCCCTCTTCTTCTTCTTCTTCTTCCTCACCACTGTCAGATTCTCCCTCCTCAGACTCCTCTTCACCACTGTCTGAGTCATCTGAAAGGAGCACAAATGCATGCAGCCTTAGTAACGTGTGTCGTGGGAGCGGATGACATTCGGTGCTCGTTCTCCCTATCAGTTTGTCACCTTACACACAACCAAAAGTGAAGAGACAGCGAGATCTTCCTTGTGGTAGTGGCACGCAGTGGCACTCAGTGGCTCTCATTGGCACAACTCGCGTCAAGTAAGGTGCGGGCGTCGCAACGCCACGCCGAGTGGGCGGAGCCAGGCTTTCCCACCTCTAGATGTTAGAATTTATTCCAAAAATACTCTTTTTAAGGTTATTTTATTGTTATATTTTTTATGAAAAGTGCTATTGGAACAGAAATTCAGTTACACATGAAAGCATTAATATTTTCCTAATCAATAGAGCTGAAGTTGTCATAAGTGGGACCATTAGAAGAATTAAATGAGACGCAGAGACTGTCAGGAAGGATATATATCCTATATATATATATATATATATATATATATATGAAATATGTTCAAAGAGTGGGACTAGTTCATTTTTAAAATTTATTTTCATGCTGTTTTTACATGTTTATATTATTGTTAATGTTCTTTTTGTTTACATTTGTTATTTCATATATATATATATATATATATATATAGGATATATATCCTTCCTGACAGTCTCTGCGTCTCATTTAATTCTTCTAATGGTACCAATTATGACAACTTCAGCTCTATTGATTAGGAAAATATTAATGCTTTCATGTGTAACTGAATTTCTGTTCCAATAGCACTTTTCATAAAAAATCTAACAGAATAAAATAACCTTAAAAAGAGTATTTTTGGAATAAATTCTAACATCTAGAGGTATTATTGTGGCAGCTTGGATATCATCTGACAAGTGGCAATAGGAAAAATAAGTGCAAGTCCTAGAATAACAAAACAACATGCTCAACAAACCCAATAAATTGAAAAACAAAACCCCACTCAAGTAAATAAAAAACAAGAAACAGCTCGGCAGCCTCTCGGATCGAGTGCCGCTTTGAGGACTAACAGGTTGCCAATGAATTGCCAGAGTGGCCACTGATGTGCCACTGTGGCCACTGAGTGCCACTGAATTACACACCGCCGATCCCCCCCGCGGAACACCCCCGTCTGCGCCCCCCTCCCCAACCCCCCCAGCGGAATATGTCGGACTTGAGATAGAGGTGGGAAATATGTAGTGTATCAAATAAAATAAAATAAATACAAAAAACATGAAATAAAATAAAAAAGAACTACAAAAAACATCTTTACGGCAGCTAACCTGTCGCACAAACAACGGCCGTTTCCGGGAAAGCCTGGCTCCGCCCACTCGGGATGGCGTTGCCACTCACTTGCGCGAGTTGCCACAAGGAGGATCTCGGCCCTGCTGGAGAAGTGTTGCACGGACTACCTGAGATGTCCCACAGCGCGGTCCTCTTCCCTTTGCTGTGGGACGCGCTGCGGTTGATCAGCTCATCTTGGCTGTCGTCTTCATCCATCGCTGACCATCAGAAAAAATACTGCCACAACAATTTCTTGACAGCTTTACTTTGAAGGAATCCTTCGAGAGCGGACCAGAATTACAGGTATTGTTATTTAACAGAAAAATCAATGGATTTCTATTGAAAACAAATATTCAAAAACAAGCATCACAAAAATTAGTGTGATAGAATCTCATAAAGAGTGTGAGTGTGGTGGTTGCATGTAGCCCAAGTCTGCTCACTGCTTAGAAGTGGGCAGGAGCTGAAGGAAATATATTCATCCACAATGACATTAGTCCACGCTGGGAGTTTAGACTGCAAACCAACACTTGGGAACTCGTGGGTAGCTCAGAAACTGCCAAACAGCAGCATTAATAAAACGAGTTTAAAATAAAATGGTTAGCTATTAACAGCTCGTTAGCGAGCGTCAACCTGCAGATTGTGCTGTAGCTACATTTGTAAACAAAAGGAGAAAGCGAAGCACCTTTAGAATTCGGATAAAACGTACATGTGGTGTATTTGTAAATGTGTATGTGCTACAGATGTTTGCACTGACAATAGCACGGGACTAACCTTCAACGCTGTTGTTAAAGAACAACTTATGCTAGCAGTCAACGTTAGCTTCAGTGTAGCGTGTTAGCTTGGCTCACAATGGCTAAATTTAGCAAACGTCCACTAAAAGCTCCTTCGGACTGCGGCCAAAGGCGCTCGGTTTGCGGGGCGACGTGAGCGAGCCGTCACCCGAGAACCCCATTCAACCTTCATAACTGCGGTTCCTTATTCGAGCATTTCACGACAATTGAAAACCTACTCAGTAATTCACGGTCATTTTTTGAAGTCTCCACGGTTGATGACTGACACCACCGGCTGCCTGAAGACGGAAAAGGCAGCAGAGCGCAACTGTAACTCTTAAAGAGACAGTACTCGTTTTATTATAGACGCAGCAGGTGAAGATATAAAACACAGAATATTCATATATATATTTATAAATGTGTATAGAGTGATATGTTCAATCGCATTATATTGTTTTGATACGTGGATCAACAAGAGATAACAAATAGCAAATGTTTGCGGTGCTGATTTTAGAGTAAAAGTAGACATCTTAAAATCTGTGTACCTTTTTAACGTGTTAATAATAAACATTTGGACATGGTTATATTTTACACATAGCTCCGAACCCTAACTACAAACTGATTGAGAGATTAACGATTGTTTCAAACAACAAACAGGCCGTGATGCTGTCGCCCCCCAGCGGTAACCCCGATTTGACCAAACCTCAGGTTACATAACGTGATCTAACCCGATTTTCTACTGTGTGTCATGAGGTCATCTGTATCCTGGTTGGGAATAATCCAACAGCACGTTTTGTGTTAAAGACTGTCAAGGAGAAAAGCTCTAGAATAGACAAATCTTATCCCAAATGTTGTTGTATATTATGAACAAAAAAATAAACACAAAAACATGGGAAGAACATCATGTTTCGGTTGACAAATTGAAAGGGGGTCAACGAGTGAAAAGTAAATAAATGTTTCGCCTTTATCCAAACATGGGATGCTCTTAGATTTTCCTTTTTAATTAATCATGTCATGAGTAGTTGTCTAAAAATAGTACGTATATCTGCGGTTGTACTGAAGTATCCAAACATAACTGTATTCATGTGCTGCAGCGATTGAAAAAATTAAACAAATATAATTCTGATTTGTTAGCCTCAAATGTCTTTTATGCTGCGCACTGTAATTCCGTGGATTCCTAACTCTGATTTAATAATTGTGCTCCTCGAACATCGTGCTCCACCACCTCTCCTCCTCCACTTGGTCGTCACTGTCAGATCACACCGTCATGTGCTGCTTCCTTGGTACGTGCACATCCACACTCCGCTCATGGCAACACTGTACACAAGCGAGCCGAGTTCAACCACTTCACGCTGTAGGGGTAGAGGCGACCTCTGTCAAACCGCCTAAAGTCGGTTTATCCCCCTCCAGGAGCAGCTGGGGCAACACACGGCGTCTTTTCGAGGGTGGTGGAAGACCGATTCACGTTTCAGTTTGCGATATATGGTCGGCGAGGACGGGGCACTGTTATAAGATAATGGTTTATTCCTAATGTACGACGTGCAGAACTGAACGCGCCGCACCCCAACTATAACTCACGAAGTCAGCCGCGCGTGCTGGCCTTGCCGGCCCCGCCTCCTCGCGTTTTCTATTGGTCGATTGTCTAAAATTGATGCGGCGTTCAACTTAAACGCGACAGCCCATTGGCTGTATTCTAAATATAGTTTCTTTGCGATTTGCATAACCAGGTCAGGTTGCAGATGCAGGGGAGTGGGCATGGTAGGAGTAATGCAAGTGAACCGAACTTGTGTGTCTGTGTCGGTGTAGGCAATATAATTTCATCAATGTGCACTTAACTTTAACCGTGCACAATGATTCATTTTAGAGGAAAAATGTATGTGATTTTTTAATTGATAGTTGGTCCTATCGGCGGAAATTCTATGTGATTTTATTTTAGGATTAATACAAAAGAAAACTTGGGTAAGTAGCTTCCTTTATCTGCCACTATTCTTTATTCTATATGGCATGCATGAATGGGCCAGATCCATTACGTTAGATGTTACTTCTCTTGACATTTTTTACACTTTATATTTTAGAAGTTTTTCATTACCATTAAAATGTAACGCATTTTGTGACTGTTAATGTATCATTTGGCGTTACACTAATTTGGATAACGGTACATTCTAAGCAAAAGGGATGTTATTAGAAGGTGTACCACTATTCTCCTTACTTTATGTTGGCTGTGTATGTCTAATATGTTTCTGTTTTATTTCACAGTTTCTCTACAGATAATGTGTGCTCGTGATTATGATATCAGAGACATCTAAAAGCAGGTAAGCCACTGACTAACGCACATTGTGCCAGTGTCCAAATCCACTGTGCGTGTGACAGCGGCTAACCTGGTTTTGGGAGCACTTCTCGCTTTTTGGCTCGTCCAATACCAGCCACAGCCGGACCAGACACTTACATCTATAAGAAGTAACCCCCCCCCCCTCCCCCACCCCAACTCTTGATCGTGTCCCGTGCACGTTGCTGGGACGGGCCTACTTAAGATGACTGCCGACCCAGCGGTCTCCTTGTGTATTGTGCAGCCTACTTCCTGCTATATGTTGACACACTATTTATTTTGCAATGCCTCTCGATTCACGCTTACCATCACCACCGTTGGTGTTTTATTTCAGTTTCTTCTTAGGATTTGTAGCTTAAGTGTTTCCGTTTTGAGGTCAGGGGTTTCTTAAAGAGGTTCCCTGGGAGCCATCCAGCACAAATTAGCATTATATGATAAAACACAGAACTTTGTTGTGTAGTGCAAAATGGATTGAGGAAATACAGTAAGGTGGAAACGCCTTTACAGTAGAATAAGCAGTTTCCCAGTTTATTTACAAATGTGTTGAGGAATTTTTGAGCAATAAAATCCAAGTAAATTGTATCCAAACACTATATACTTATTTCTTATGTTATTTGTATCCTAAGTAAAGTTTCTACTCAAATCAATTGTGCCATCATTTGTCCTTCTACTTTACTATCTGATGCATTTCTTGTTATCAGTAAGGATGTTTCCATTCGTGCGTAACGACTCGGTTTTGACGCAGCCGTAGGTCAGACTCATTAACTTGTGGCCCCATCCATCTCCAGAATGTGGAAGTGCAGATGCTCACTCTCGTCCAACCCCAAGAAGATCCTTTCCATCAATTTTCATACAAAAGTGGTAAAATGATCAACTTTGCGTCCCTTTTGCATTCATCCAAAAACATCGTGGATTTGGTACCATTCTATGAACAATAATAATTCCCTCAGCGTGGTGTCCCAAAACAGGATAATCTGTTAATGTCCTGTTTTCGAGATTGGGATCTTCTGGCTTTGAATTTGAAATGCGTGAGTATAAAGTGGATCACTTTGTAGGGTATTAGGAAAAAAACGGTATCTACAAAAGTTCAAGTTTGTTGTTTTTTTTATGTACAAGGGCTCATTAGTTTCAAGTCCGAGGGAGGAAATAGAAAGTGAAAGACTTTTGAGTTTAAGAGTATGTAAAGCGTCCCTCGTGTCCACAGGTAGGCGTCAGCGTTGCACCATGTGGTCTTGTGCAGACAGTGGGATCTAAACAGCTTAGCTAACCGCTACCAAGCCAGAAAGCTTTGAGTCTTCTCAGTAAAATCCCATTCTACATAATTAATCATAAGATCTAACTAAACTGAAAATGTTATGTTACACCAGCTAAGGAGGAACAACAATGCCACAAAGTGGAAATAACACATACTCAATTTGATTTTTGATTTTTTTTTTTCAATGTGTCTATTTAAATGGAAAGTAAATATGTGGCTGCTTGGAATTATACCTGCAAAGTGAGATCAGATGAGAGTATTTATAGAAACCTGCAAGGTTTCCGTCCGGGGCTTTTTCTGGAGCGCAAGGAAGCTCACGTCACTCTCAGTGTGTAACGGCCGGCATATTTACTCCCCGGGGTAAACAAACAGGAAAGGGGTGGAGGAAGAAAGTCTTGTGTAGAAGCCTGACTTTCTGCATTTGTGTGTTTATTCTTATGCCAGGATTTGATTAGTCAGCTAATAAATAAATAACTAAACAATTAGTTATTTTGTTGCCAGTTTTTTTTTGAAGTCAGAAGGATGAAGTCAACATTTTTTCCCCAGACATCTTTTGGTGCTAAAAAGAAAGCTTTTCTTACTAATAGTACGAACACACAACAGACCATCAACAATGTGCATTTTCAATTAAAAACATCTTTAGTCGTCTCTCATAGATGATGTTTGCCCTTATGGTCACGTGTCTTGTAGATATACAGTGTTACATCATGTGCGTTACCAGGATGTCAGCCACATTTCCATCTGTGAACTTTCGAGCAGTAACCTGTAAATACCAGATATAAAAGACCCAAGAAAGATTGTGGGTGAAAGCACCCATGTAGCACAAGCTATGACGAGAGCATGCATATTTCAGTACCTAAAACGTATTCATAATTCATGTCACATAGGCTCTTCTTGGTACTGTCATTTTTAGAAAGTGCACACTGGTGTGTTAATTATTTACTGCAGGGTATTCTAGATGCACTGTACCTTCACTCATAGCAACTGTAGCTGTAACAATGATCCAACAGGGCATTAAGAAAAACAACCACTCAACAAAATATTAGCTAAAACACAATGCACATTTTTATTATATTTAAATATACAGTGATAGTAATTGCTCTAGGTAAAAGGACTTTAAATTATTTTACATTTCATACATTCTTTGCAGTGTTTACAGTCGTGTTTACAGTAGCAAAACTCTGTAAATATATTTGTCTTATGTATGTACAGTATGTATCATGGTGGATTACATAATGAGTTACAAAGAAAGGGGTTAAAGCAGAGGTTATGGTGACAGAACAGTGAACACCTTTCCTTTGGCCCTGCGGTCCGTGTTTTATCTCCATGACGACTCTCGGGAAGTAACGACTGCAAGACACACAAAAATAAGTGGGGATGACGCCATCCCTTTGCTTGGAAGACATGTTTCAGCTAAGACACAACAGGAGAGACCCAGGTCACTCGCCGGCGGTTGTTAATTACGACGGTCTTGCAGTCAGAGTCGGTTCGATAGGATTGGTTCATGCATTGTTTCTATACCAACTGAGATGTTGTATAATCCCACAAAGAAATCACAAAACTGCAGATGGCAAGGGGGTGCACACTCCAACACACGTCACTTTGACCTGCCAGCATAACACACACACATAATAGGATGATGAGTGCTATCACAAAGTCAAAATTGATTTAGGTGGTTTGAAATGGTGATTTGGGAATAACAGTAATGCAGACATCTGCTTTATATAATGCTTGATGTTTGTTTTAAGGGTTTAGGTAACAAAGCTCATCCTAAATTTGCTGCACATGTTATAACAGGTCAAAGGTTAGGCGTGTGATCACAGCAGAGAAACCAGGCGCATACATCCCAACGGAGAAACAGAAAAGAGTCTAACGAAACCTCGGCCTTGTTGCCCTTCTTTTGAAATGTATCCCCTGTTTTATCTCGGATCGAAAAATGTAAGAAAAACAAACTGCAGGGCCGAGGTTTCACACAGAAAGAGAACGGGTCAGTGCAATACATTCAGCAGAGACCTTCCATGAAAGTCTCCTGCTCTTTGGAAGTCAAGCGTCAAGTACGAGGCATTGTATAAATACGCCCCCCCCCCCTCCCCGACCCGTATGAATACTATGCATACATAGAAGGCAAACTGAAAAGGCTTTGTCCTCCCGTCTTTCCATGTCACAGTGTAAAAAGAGCACTACAAACAGAATGTCTTCTACAGTCATTCCCAGTGCGATCAAAGTGCTACGTGGAGACATATGGTGAAAAACGGCCGTCGGTGGACCGTTGTTGACTCGGGAAAGGCCGCTCTGTGTTACAGAGGAAGTGGTGTTAGGAGCGAGTTCCCATATGTATTACAGAGTTTAACCAAAGCAGCTACTGTGAGAGACAAGAGCAGAAGAGAGAGAAGAGACGGCATGAAAGGATAGACACACCCAGGGAATCAAAGCGGGAACACTTGAGTAAACGGAAGGGGGGAACGTGTCAAATAAACAGTTAAATAAAGAAAATAAGACTGGAATCAGCCAAAGCCTATGCGTTAGGTGCTAAAGAGAAGTCTTTCAGTCTTGAAAAGGTAGAACACAAGGAAGAAGGCTGAGCAGGAAGCAGGGATCCACCACACAGATGATCCCACCGCCCGACACCAAACAAACGGCAGCTTGTGCCCTTAAAACCCAATCAAGTCAAGGGTCGGGGGAAAGAATGAGGGCGGCGGGGGAGGGGGGGGGGCTCTGGGACCAGGGGGACGGGCAGGGCAGGAGAGGAGCAGAGCGGGATGGACTTGGGAAGCAGCAGGGTCTCACACATACACACCCTCGGGGTTGAGACTGGACACTAGAGGGTTTTGCAGGTTGCGTGGATGGCCCAGGAACTGTTTGGCGGTGGGGCGAGGCGGCGTTTCCGTGTGAGCTGCACCGAGGCCTGATGGGGAAACAGGAAAAGGGGGTTAGAGGGCCAGTCGTCTGAATTTCAACAGCAGAGTACACAAGCGAGTCTTGTATGCGTACCTCCATTCCTGTACCCATCGGGCAGGAGATGGGCCAGCTCCAACTGCTCCAGCTGCTCCCGGAGCTCTGTGCGCGAGTGGGCGTGCGCCGGCAGCACACCTGTCTGTTGTATAAACTGCTGCAGGTTGCACTGCCTCAGCTCCTTATTCAGCTCCTCTAGCTCGTCCTGCTTGTCCTGAGGTAGAAAAGAAACATGAATGAACAGGGGAAACAAAGGGCCATTGAGAGCTCCCGTCAGTCAGCGCTGACTCACTGAGCACCGGCGCCTTGTTTGCCTGTGAATGGGTGCAGCGTACGCCTAAATGACCTAAATACGCCTGGTTTTGGTAGATCTCGATCTTCGGTTCTGTATGGCTTGAATGTTAACCAAAAAGGAGAATTTTAAGTATTTACAGGGCAGGATGTGTATTTTTTCTACTCTATAAATCACAACCTTTCACCACGAGGGGGCAGCAGAGTCTATACGTTTAGTCACCCACCATGCAACCCTTCAGCAACAATGAATCACACTGAACAATGAAGTCCCACAGTCACCTTAAGCATACTTCTAATTCCATCACATGCCAAAAGCCTGAGGTATATGCTTGTCTTGTCGATGGATACATGAAAATGCTCCTTTGCCTGCTGCATCTCTAAGTTGTTGTTGATCGATCAGATGTCAATTGGTCAAGATATTATTCACCTCCCATCAATTTAAACATGGAGATTAGACATGCTCATGAGTGTGGCATCACCTTCACACACACAGATTCAACTGTGATGCCTACAAACAGGCCCGTCAATCAGTCTTAATCAACTTGCCATTTGCTCTTAATCAATGTCTCTGCACGCAGTACACAAAGCAGTATGCTAGTCACAAACTCCTGCATTTGTGTGTGTGTGTGTGTGTCTATAATTGCTGTTGGACTGACGCAGCCTGCTGAGGCAGCTCGTGCACCTGCAGGTCTGCCTCCATTAGCCTAAGGACAGGAATGCTGTGCTCATCATCTCGAGCACATTCGACTGTCATCTTCAACCCCATCGGCTGACTGACGACACTGCTGCACATGCACACCTTTCAATTACAACCAACTGAGCTGTATTATACTGTATCATATTAGCAGGATTAGCGTGCATCTTATTTGTGATAAATGCAAAAAAAAAAGTAATAAATGCCTGGGTGGAAAAATGCCTCAGTGGTTACTTTCTGCATATAAACTCTTGTTATGACATGGCCGAGTACCCGGATAATACCTGTTCTGCAGCTGGATGCTGTCTATGTAATTGGCAAATTGATCGTGACACAATCCCTCCCTGTTCCATCAATCCGTCTGTTGAGTCAGACACATCCCCAGCAGGATGACTGACAGAAAAGCAAACGGCCATATCGTTATGTTTTATTCGGTTTTGCAGCCAGTTTGTCAGTGATTCTTTATAGCCCAGTGGATTGAGCGTTAGACGCAAAGGTCTTTCCGTCCGATGAAAACACGTCGGCCTTGACTACAAATGTTTTCATTGTGCTCTACTTCCTTGAGGTAAAACATTCCAAACCATATGACAACGATGAGATCTACCAAGTGGATAACAGTCTTGGGTTTCATTTGGATGATCATGGAACTCGAGTTTCGAGCTTCAGACTGGGTTCGGCTTTTATTGATAGAGCCGCATCTATGACAACTACCGAAAAGTAAACAAACAATGACACCACAAACTACCATACGTTGAGGCCGGGTCGATCCAATAAAAGGGGCTTTTATTCTACAAATCAATCCTCTTTAATCTCTTTTTCCATACACAGTGTACAAGGATATGTAGATACTGGCAGTGTAATGTAAACACCATTAGTAACTAAGTGTTCAGGACATGCATACAATACGATATCCGCCAAACCAGTTTGGCCAGACCTTAAGTTGTTCTTTCAGACAATAAAACATTTTCATACAAGGTGGGATATGAATATACAGCATTAATGTCATCAAACTCTGTTGAATAATTATTCATATGTAAAAAAATGCCACAATAAATCATGTGTTTAATGAGTCAAGTGTCTCTGCACTGCTGTTAGTCTGCAGCAGTATGCAGGCAGGAGAGGGATACGGTTTCACAGTAAGAGGGGCCTGTGCTACACCCCTCCAATGACAACACGCGGGCCGATGTGGATTTATAGCCCTTTCTCCAGAAACGTCACCTCTCTCCTTACCTGCATCAAAGACTCTGCTTTCCCAAGAGCCTTGTCAGTCTCAGACAGCTGCTCCTCCAGCTCAGTCCGTTGGTTCTCCCGGCTCTGGAGCTCGGCCTTAATGGCGTCCAGAGATTCCTCGGGCCCGTTGGCTCTCCCCTCCTCCTGGCTCTCTCTCCGGATCTCTTGCTCCAGCTGCGCGGAGCGAACTAAGAAGTAGTGGAGCCGCCGCCCGCAGTCGTCGAGCTTGGCGTGGACCTCCCCCAGCTTCCTCCTCATAACTCGCTCCCTCTCCACCTCGGCCTCAAGCTCCTCCTCCCAGAACTGCTCGTGGGCCAGCTCCGCCTGGTTCCTCCGCGCTGCGAGCTCCAAAGTGTTCATCTCTTCCTGCACGTGAGCGTGGGGAACTGGCGAAGGACACGGAGATGAGTAGGGACGCTCCCAGGTATGTGACTCCCTCTCGAGGGCTTCCAGCTGGGCCTCCATGGCCCTCAGCCTGTCCTGTTGCTGAAAAACATTCCTGATGACCTCCTCTTTGGATGCCGATGGCAATGGGGACAGCGCGTGAGGGGAAACGGGACTCGGAGAAGGGGAGGGGGAGGCCCTTTGCTCCGGAGAGTCCCGAGCGGACCTCTTTAACAGCTTGGCCTTGGTTCTAGGAGAGGTGGATGGTCCCAGGTTAAAGGTGAGTGCTTTCTTAGCACGCTGGCTGCGTTTGGAAAGCTCCGGCTCAGGATGCTTAGGCAGTGAAGGGGGGCTCGGCCTGTCCTGTTTGGAGGAGGGTCCGTCGCTGCTGCTAGGGCCGGTGCGGCGCAGGAAGAACTGGACTTCGCCTCCATGTTGGCCCAATTTAGCCAGAGACTCCAGAGGCTTCTCCGTGGCCAACAGCTGCCTTTCTGTGTCCCTAAGACGCTGGATCAGAATGTAACGGCCTGTCTGACCTGGGGACAGAGAGATGAACAGTGGGTGAGGACGAAGACATATACACATACAGGCTGAAAGAGAACACAAGCTACCGGACCTAAAACACCCCCAAACTGAAGAGACAGTCAAGATCGTTCTTCTCCTTTACTGTCATTAATGCTGTTGATTTAAATCCGGCCGTTATGCAAGTAGTGAAGAAATGACATCGGACGCATTATGATGATGCTCGTGCCTTTGAGGATTGGAAGAAAGGCTTCTTTGTAAGACTTGCAAAACATGTAAAAAATGTTGAATAAACTGAGGTTTCCACAAGGACCTTGAAATTAGGACGAGCCTTCCCCGATGGCTTGGCAGGCATCACACTCGTGGAAGGAGCGGAGTGCTAAATCTGGATTTATGTTGTTCAACGCTGCTGCAGCATAAGGCTTGAATAAAGCGAATAAAGCCGGAGGAAAAAAAGACAGGGAGCCCGTAAATCCAAACTGACCCCCTGACAATGCAACAAGAGAACTCAATTTGGGTCAGAGGAGAAGGTGAGAGCAAATTCCAATTGTTGTTACGAAATCACTATGCAAGATGAGTCCACCGAGCAGAGACAAGGTGCCGAGTAGCATCACAACACGACGACCCGATGGTTTCACAGCGGAGAAGGCGCTCACCGATGGCCTGGGCCAGAGCGATGACCACATCCTGGCAGGACGTGTCCTCCGACAGGCCGCACACCACCCGCACCACTCCGTCCACCCACACTTTGAGCTCCATCCGTGACCAGGCGGGGGAAGGTGAAGGGTAAGATGGTCTTCAAAACAGATCAGCTTGGCTCGACGGCACGACTCAACACCGCATGTCAAAGACTCTGAAAAGGGAAAGGAGAGATTCAGGTTAGGTGTAGGCCGGCGGGGTTAAGGACCAATCCAGAAATCACACTTTCCAGTTGAAGCAGAGTTGTGGAAAAAGTTGGGAGATCTCGGAGAGGACCAAAAAGGACACAATACTAACTTTCCAAAAGCTTTTAGTGGTCAGTAATCACAGAAATGTGTCACAGCTAAGTTAGTAACTTAAACACACGTCATTTATACATGCAGCACCCTCACAAGTGTCTACTCCAAACAGTGCTGACGTCAAAAACTGAGTCAGAGTACAATTGAATTGTAAATCTCAGGACCCACAGCCGAGGAGGGGAGGGGAGAGCAGGGTGGCATTTTGTTGTTGTTCATACCGGTTAGTTAAGAGCCTCGGTAGAATCTTGTGGACCTGGAAGCGTAAATGCCAATCAGTAACCCAATTAAACGCTCTGCTGGGCTCCTTCAAAGCCGTTATGATAGCTTACTGCCAAGGGGAAGGGACAGGGAAAGTGGAGCAACTCAAGTGTGTCTACGTGTGGGAGAGGGTGTTTGTGCGGGTAGAAATACATAGAAACGTGGCAAGAGAGATAGAACAAGTGTGTATGTGTGTGCGTTGAGTTCAGTTTGATCCCCTCAGCAGGACCAGAACCGGGTCTCATCAGACTCCATAGAGCAGATCAGCCGTTTGCCTTACACGCATCGGGCCAGCAGGTTTAACCAAAATGAACATTGGTACGATGAGTCTTCAGTCTCTCTCTCTCTCTCCGTCTGTACTTTTATAGCTAAGCTTTAAAAACGGGGTAATAAAATACCGCAGTGCTCATAAAAACGTGAAATGCCTCGGGCGGCGGCAGGATTATCTACCGAGCTTGGCACAGTTAATGAAACTTTGTAGCCTAGGTGGGTAAAAGACAACTCTCCACCAAGAGTCAGACAGATGGTGTCCTCTTTCTGCCGGTCTCCCCGGTTCTCACTGGGAGGCGTTGAATGCGGAGCCTCACCATTACCCCCCCCCTCATCCAAGGCCCGGCTCTGCTCCGCTGGCCGCCTATAGGGGAGCCGCTCCGGAGGAATTCCTGCTTTTCTTAACAAAGCCCTGACCTGATTACTTTTCCGCTGTTTGGATGGCAAATACAGAAGCTGCTGTGGCAACAGCGTCACACAGCTCAACAGCTCAAATGACACCGGTGTTGTGGGTGGGTGTTATGACGGCACACAGCTTAGAGGTACATATCAAGATTTTTCTTGTTCTTCTTTTTACCACATGCAAAGTTGATATGAAAAGGGAGTGCTTTCCTAAATGAAGCACGGCACTTTCACCATTAGTGAGAAGACAATAGGTGTCCTTGAAGGAGCAGTGGGCTCTGTTGCAATACGTAATTAAGTCGAACTGGTTGAGTGACGCAGTCACTCGACAATCATTTGCTTTGGCTGTGAGGCTTTTTTTACATGCAGGGGTGAATAGGTATAAAATAACAAACAAAGTCCTCAGGCCTCATGCAGTGCCACCTTGGAACCAGACTCCCAACTTAAAATAACCTAAACTGTAAGAAAAAACTGATTGCAAAGATCACGCAGATCTTGAACTTCGGATATGTTTTTTTTTAAATACGTGTGAATTTCCCTCTCCCATCATGCTTTGCTCCTGTCCCTCCTGGCTGGTGAACTGTGACGATCTGCACCAACAGGAAACAAACAGGCCTGTGAGTTTCAGGTTGCAATCTATTCTCTTTGTCACAGACACAAGACTGAGAAGCAGACATTCGCCGAACCCAGCTCCTATTTCCCAGCGCAGCGCTGGTCCTGTGGCAGTTGTCATTGAAATGCAGCAGCACCTTCACACGATCAGCGAAATGCAGTCCATAAGGTACAAACCTCTTTGGAGTGGCTCAGGCACAACGAACATAAAACAAACTAGTGATACTGTGTGACGAAAGGGAGAGAAAGAGACAGAGACAGTGAAGGAGACAGACATGGGGGATGGGAGGGGGGGCTTGACAGATAAGGCTGATTGGAGCCATTCTCCTCTGTCCGCGCTCGCCATCGCTCACCCGCCCAGCTGACCCGCTTTGCGTCTTTCATCACCCGGTCTGTCGCTCTTCAACAGCAGCATTTTTGTGGCCTTTCCCCCTTACATATGACAAATGAACAAATAAAAACACACACACACAAGCGCCAATGCACAAGAACTGGCGGAGCTGGGCGGACACACCCTGCATACTCGATTTTGTTCGGAGGTGAAACATTCATCTCCGTTTTAGTCATGAGCAGAATTGAGAAACATGCGTGGAAGAGCAAAGCTTATCAGGAGAAGAAAAAATCCCAAGGGTGTTGTTGCACCGTGGCTTGTGAACACCTGAGCCCTGAGGCTACCTGAAGAGTGTGCTTACTGGGTGTGTGATGTGTGTGAGCGTGTGCGCACAGGGACGTACAGTACTCTGCGTCATGCTGGTCAAAGGTTGGGTTTGCTTGCTTTCATGTACAAGCCTGTGTGTGTGTGTGTGTGTGTGCTGTTGTATTAGTGAGATGTTGCTACAGTGATTTGTGTGCTATCTCTGCAGCAACAGAAGTCCAGCGAACAATAGCGGGAGTAAAAGGGCAGCGCGTGCACCACGCAGCGCTTCAGATCCGAGCCACAGACGGACACACAGGCACACAGGAATACGACAAGTAGGCACTGTTATCCCTATCAGGATCAACACAGACAATAAGTCCCTGGCCCCGGCCGGTTGAAGAGGACATAATAGGTTTTGTTGTCAGGAGGACAATGGACAGTGCCCGGGTGAAGCGCTGTCCTCTGTACCACTCTGGCCCAGGTTGGCAGGGACAGACAAACAAACACCCAGAGAGGCAGCAACGTGTGGAAGCGAGTAACCTTGTCTCGTCCGTCCTGCTGAGACACAACTGTTGTCTCGGCTCCACACTCCGCGCGCCACAACGGTTGTTGCCTCTTTTGTTGCAACCTGGCAACCTGGCAACCCTGGCTCGCCTGCGACGCCGGCTTTTAGTGCCATTCCGCTGCGTCCACGTGTTGACGCGAGGACAGACACTCTCCTTTGTCCTCCGTGACCATTCTGTCTTCGTCACCCGGCGTTTCAGTGTACCAAGCGAGCACAGTGTCTGTGTTGAAGGACAGAAGAGACCAAGCACAAACAAAGTGCCCGGGATTGAGCGCAGCAGAATACCTATTGACTATAGCAGAAAATGATCCGTTTGCTTCGGCAATCAGGACTAGTTCTCTGTGGAAGAACTCGTGATGAATCGCATGAGTATTCCCAGCACGGCTTTTGTACGGCAACAAGAGAAATGTGTAATTCCTGCCGAAACTGTTTCCATAGGGGTGTCATACTGTGGAATCAAACGCACAAACACATCCTTTGGTCACACACTGTAACTTGGAGAGAAGCTTAACGTTGCATAACACCACCGACAGGCCTGACCGCGCGCCTCTATCTGCTCATGACGATCTCCGAAAGCTTCGCGCCGTACAGCCGCACACCGTAACTCCCGTGGAGAAGTCATAGTGAGCACGGCTTCAGTGCCTGCGGTCAGAGAGCAGGGAGTGGTGCACTGGGCCCATCAGGACACCAGATCTCAAATCGCAGAGTTTCTATTGGCCGATATTAAGTAGTAAACTAACTTTTCAAATGTAAACATACATCTCACACAGTAGATCATTTGCTTTTATGGGGTGACAAAGCGGTAGAATGTTGGGAAAGTGAGGTCGAAGCTGGAAGGTGTTAACATCCAACAGCATCCAGTCCTCTTTGCGGTTCGTGGAACCGGCTCGACATTTGAAAAGAAAACTGGGTTACGTGTGCTCTTGTTACGCTTCCAAGAGAACATTGTATTTGTGTGCCAACATTAGAGCATGCATGTGTAGAACTGTGTGTTTCACTATGACGGCGGCGGTGACTTTGCTGCTTCTTCTTCTTCATCACAGCAGAGGGCCGGGCTGCAGCGGAATCCGCAGACATGCTGCCTGTTAATTAGACTGAACGGCTGCCTGCTTCCCTGCTAACGGAGCCTCACTGAAGCCTCAGCACACCTCATGAATAATGAATTTCTCTTTTTCAAAGCACATTCATTTGGAAAAAGTTTTGCGGTACAAAATCCGAATGCTTGTGAACGACCAACTCTTTGAAAATGCCCCCCCTTTCGCCTACATCTTTCCTCCATTGACATGCTAATGAGAATCAGAAACAGCGCTAATAAGCTTTAGTCGTCATACTTGGATGCAGCGATCTCTGTCTGCAGTCTTCTCCATCACACCGACCGACTCCTCCAAGTGTGAAATCTCACCGAAAGTGGATCAGTGGTTCATTAATGCAGGGGACACCTTCCCCCTTCTATATCAAGGGCAAATATAGGCAGCAGTATTAATTATTTACAAACGGCGACGTGCAAACAAAACGTTCGTGACTGAAATCCCAGATGAACTGAACAAATGGGATCATTCGACTCTTCGCCTCAGTATCGCATGTTCAAATGGCGAACACACAGGTACTGCAATCGCTGTGCATGTAATTGATGATCGAGGAGGGTTTAAAAGGTGGATGTCGACTAGTCTGGTTGATCTGAAGCGAGCCTCGGCACGGCAACTCAGGATCTGGCCATCACCTGTGGCTGTCATTACCACTCCAGTCACACTGTGTAAAACAGCACTTAGCGTTAAATCCCAGCCATCATGAATCACCAGCAGCTCTCACTCAAACAGATGGCCCGAACCACAGGAGAGAAGGAAACGGTGAGAGAAAATAGTTATTTAATTTCAATATTTGAAAAATGCTTAGAAGGTAGTTTTGTTATTGTTGGCGCACATTTAAGTTGTTTTGTACTCGTGTTTTCCGGCGAATTGTTTGTGGCTTAAAATAAAAATAACTTACTTTCAAAACTTCTGAACTTAACATCGGATATGTCAATCCATTTATTTATAACAAAAATGACAAACAATTCAATTCCCAATCCGCCGTGCCTCACGGTCAAAAGTTATCTGCCTCGCTGTGCGCCACACCTGCACTAATTAGCCCTGGTGTTAAATAGGCTGGTGGCAAAAACAGCGCCATCCCATTGCAGTATTCAGAATGGCTCCAACAGTTATTTTAACTTTGGGAAAAGTATGAAGAACACTTCTACATTATTCATCTCACCAAGACCTACTCACACTTGATTTGGCATTTGGCATTAGTCATTCTCTTGTTCGCTTCAATCGTGGTCGACGAGCGCAGGCGAGTACATTAGAGACGGGGAATTTGTTCATGCGGACTCACGGATCCGGCCACGGGGCCGGCGTCTAACGGTGAGAATGCTAACGCAGGACTGCACCTGGTCGGGCCGAGCTGGTCTCTACCGAGAGCTTGGCTCGGCTGCCTGCAGGCTTTGCCCTGCGAGTACAGCAGTTGGTATTGTTGGTCGAGCCGGAGAAGAAGGGCTCTCAGACTGCCGATGGGCACCCATATGTAATTCTATCCTCCCGTCCTGACTCAGCAATACTTGCAAGGGAAGGAGGACAATGCTCTGTTCCCATCTACATTCCTATGTACACAGCACACACACGCACTAGAGAACACACACATGCATAGAGGCTGTGCAATAAGTACATGCACACGTATAAACAGGCATGTTCACTTATCATCACAAGTCACCAAAATAACACGTTGCACAGATAGAAGGCAGACCGGTTGGCTCAAACTTAAAGAGGCTCCATTTGGAACTCAAATAACATGTAACTGTCAAAGTGAACCGACTCATTTTGAGGTGCCATTTACAAATTAGCAGCTTTAAAATGACTGACATGCTCAATAGTTCACTGCATGAAAAGTGGGATTTTCGTCAGTATGCGGCACTGTAGATTGTCGTGGAATTTCAGGTTTGTGGCTGTTCACGGCAATTTGCGGGCAACGCCGAAAACTGCCGTAAATTGTCAGAAATTGATGTGGGCCTCCCTTGGCAGTTGTCCCCCCATGACCCTCCTCCTCGTAATTCTAGGGGAGGCTTTGACTTGTAAATGAAAATGCTGTGAGCTATTCAAATGCAAATCAGGGTCGCAGAGGGAGTTTTAGCCCAGGTGACATTTTTTTAAAAGGTAAGAAAATCTCTGGTACAAATAGATCAGGCTCAGTAGCCTGATTATACACTCTCACATTTGAGCTTGAATTGATTTATTTAATTAAAATATGCTAGATTACTGTGTACGCCATTAGCAATGGCAAATGTTATGTAAAAAAGATACACAAAATGAGTTTTAATCAAGGTAAAATGAGCATTCCATGCAAACAACATTTGAATCAGCATGAGGGGTCTGCAGAGATCAGTCTCCTAGAGCTCAACTACAGTGCATAGTGGCAGGACTACAGTGACCTTTTCTTTGGTCTTAAATGCACAGAGGATGTATTAACCACACATCTTCTAGCAATGCGCTCAACTGGCAGAAATGATGCTGGGTACGACGTGTCTGTTCCCTGCAAGCCCCAAACTTCTATTGGCTTTCCATAAAAATGTCTGTCCGGGTGGAGATGAAGCCCGGAAACGTGTGCAAGAACATGTTTAAATGCCGTACCCTTTGACACAACATTAACAACTATAAACTGCTTTATAATGGCTGGTCGTAGTTCTGCTAGAGGGTCAAGGACGGGTTCCTCAAAACTGTTAGTGTTTCCACACCACAGCATAAATATACGCTGACCTTTATGCTCTGCATCTATCGATTGAGTAAGTTACATTCATATATGTTACCCGTTTACATGTCATGGCAAAACATTCAACCTCAGTGACACAAGGGTACATGTGATGATACATTGTCAACATTGCATGTATGTCAGACTCTAGAGTGTCTGGTGGAATGGAGAAAGAGGCACCACTGTACAGATTTCTAGGGAAAGTCGTTCCGCTGACACCAAAACACTGCTTTACATAAAGCATATCAGCTGTTTCAAAGTCCCAACCATTTGTCTTCCTAAAATACTGGTCCTTCCGTATAACAATAACCTCGCATGTGATTGGAGGACCCTTAGACTCCTCGTCCAATCACGTGTGAGGTCATAGGGATGACTGATAAAGCAGTACTTGCAAGACGAGCATACAAACAGACACGTGTGTGTTACTATATTCAGAAGAACTGTATCTCCAGTTCCTTTGTTTGGTTTTTGCTGCTTCGTGAATAATGGCGGGACGACGTCTCGCGCTCAACTCGCCTTCAACTCCTCTCCGCGGTCACCAACTTTCGGCCAGTCCGCAGACAGACGAGAAGAAGCTGCTGAATGATCTCAGTGGATCGTCTCGTCAACTCCAACAACAAACTGCCGATATCAACGAGCGGTTCGCTCCACTGGAGCGTTCGGGACTCTGCGGGTTTCTGTCCATGGAGGAGAGGAACCGACTCAAAGAAGAGGAGACGGGCGCACGATCCCACGATAGCGGTAAGAATACGTTCGATGACTGCAAGCTAAGCTAAGAGTAGCGTAGCCTCAAGCTAAGCTAAGAGTAGCCGAGTAGCCTTACAAGTGAGCAGAAACAGCTTTATTAAAGTGTGTTTTCTTTGCCGTGTCGTTTACAGGAAGCGCTGCGCCGTCTTCACAACTCCGAGGCGAATTACAGGCGCTACGAACCGGAGCAAGGGTCAGATTTACAGAATATGCTTTCATTCTGCGCTATAAGGGAATATATACGTATGGATACCGATCATAACTACATTTTGTTTTCACAGACTAATCTCTCCTCATAGTGAGGCGGTGACCTCGTATTTGCTCTGGGAAAAGTCCAGATTTAGACGACGTCATTGTGTGTAAGTGACACTGTTTCTCCTTCCTTGTTAAATGTTACTGTGACTTGCGTTTGATTTTTTTTGTATTCATACCACACTCATTTAATTGTTTTCCAGCCGCCTGTGAGACGTATTTTGAGACGTACGCAGGAGCTTCAGGTTCAGCCGGAACGCTCACTGCGAGCGGAAGCTGCGAAGGATTCAGCGCGGAGTCGAGCGAGAAGAAAGAGGGTCAGAGTTTATTTGCTGACTTGTTTCAGGTGCATTGATAGATGTGTTGTGTCGGTACGCATCGCATCGCACAGTACTGATCCATTGTTGGTTTGGCTTTCTTTGCATAAACATGTGGCAAATGTTCATTTTCTCTATAAATTCATTGATGTCCTGGTTGGTATCCTAATAATAGTGTAGTAGCCTGCATAGGATAACCATGAAATGAATATACAGCATAATATGAATATATAAATAAAATGAGGCGGGTGACCAATAGCGACAGATCTGCCGACCAATCACGAGTGATTGAAAGTTGTGGTTTCATCCAATCATAAACTAGTGTGGTTTTGCTGCCAATCACGAGTGATTTTATTTGTTCGTAAGTTGTGGTTTCATCCAATAAGGAGTAAGGATATTCAAGCCCGCTCGGCTCGGCCACCCGCGGTTTCGCTGCATTCATATGCTAATTCGGGCCATTCGCACCTCCGCCAGCTCTCCGCCTACGTCATGGTTCGTTTCCGACAATTTGTGGCACAGACAAACGCGACGTGCGTGGGTTGCAAATTGTCGGAAATTAGGGAGATTCCCGGGCGTTTACGGGGACGAAAATCTCACTTTTCATGCAGTGCGTTGTAGTTGAGTTCTTTGCAGCTGCATGTGCAGCGGCATCGCCTGCGTGCACGTGCCCTGTGAGTCAGGAGGGCCCCGGCCTTCGGTGTCACAGGTTTGAAGCTCGACTCATTAGTAATTTAAAGGCCGCTTCCATGTTTGCTCATATCAATTATTCGCTTCATTTTTTTGGGAGGGGAGGGGCGGGGGTTGTTCTTACATACTCCAAACACAATCCAAGATAGGGGCTCAAATAATGCCAAACAAAACAATCCTTCAATATAAGAAAAGTAATTTAAGCGATGTAGTTGAAGGTGCATCGACTGCAGAGTTGGCGGAGGAAGGTGGCTGAGACTGGTGTTGGTTTCATCCCACTTTAATGCCATGCATTCCATTATGCAATGTAGTAGACTTGTCCGTCTTCATCTGAGCTGAAGGGCATATTGCCATTAGCAAGCCCGAGGAACTCCCTATCCATGTGCTGCTGCAAAGAAAGAGCCACGCAGGAGAGCTCGAAGCCACAAACTGACATCACCTGCACGAAGCCGAGGCTGTCACATCATGTGCTACAGCGATATATATTTAAATCCAGTTTTATGTGAGGCAGTTATCAACCCAGGACAGACCAGGTGCACATTATTGTGCATGGTTGGACCGGTAACATTACAACAAAAGTGTAAGACTCCAACAGAGAGGAAACAAACTCTTCAGCTGAATAAACGCGTTTAACAGATGAATGTGAGGAATTACATTACATTACATTACATGTCTTTTAGCGGACGCTTTTATCCAAGGCGACGTACAATACACCCAGTCTCCTCCCATGACATCAATCTCAGGACACGGACATTAGATGGCGCTTCCCAAACTACTACTATGACTAATGCGCTCCGTCCACCTCTGGTTTTAATCAGACACACCTTTGAAAACAGAAAGCCAAAAATCCTGACTGTGACGTAAGGTCAAGAACTGCGAGGAAGCTTTGGGAGAAACCGCATGCTGTACAGATTAACATGTTGTTCCATTGCCAAGGTCAGCCTGCTATGCAAAACTTCTCTTCTCACACTCTACCAATATTTACCTAGGGAGTTTCAACATACCAGGGAGACGGGGATACAGGTAAACACAGCTATGGAGCACCAGAGACCGCCAGTCTCCAGGTAACCGACCCCGGCATGTAGATGTCCTTATCCCGAAGGGGATTCATTCCTCTAAAATGCTGTTTTCTGTGCTGAGATAAGGTCAAGACTGGCGGGTTGTTGCGCACCAGCGCTGTGGAATGTACAATGACATCAAACTGTGAGCAATGTTTGACTTCAGGTAATAGTAAAAGCGTTTGCCCTGTGAACACAGATCCCAGTTTGGGTCACACTGCTTTTTTAGAGTAAACCATGCATTAGCAGTGAAAAAATACTTTATAACAGAGATTGAATCTATAAGGGGTCACTCAACACGGGAATATAACTGACCCCAAGAAGATACACAAGGAAGGATTAAGATATAAGTGAACATGTATGAGGAGGAACAGAGGTGGTCAGGCAGAGTGCTTTCTTTTCCTCACAGGCATCAAAGATACATTTCATTTTATGCCGGTGCAGCGGTTCACCAATACAGATTAATTATAGCATTAGTGATGAGAAACAGAATTTTGTGGGGGTGTTTAATCTTTAGAGAAGAAGACCAAACCACATTAAGAATGGGTTTAGCACAATTATGGCATGATATTGTGTAATGTCCTCACTAAAGTTTATCCCACGATACGACTCTATGAAAAAAGTCATCGGCATATTTCTGTATGAATAGAGACGCCAAATGTCTGAAATTTTCAAATGTAACAAAAACCTTGCCTGAAAGAAAAGAGAAAAAAGTTTTGGATATAAGTAAGAAAGTACCTGAATATTTGATGGACAGTGCTGAACGATACCTAAAATGGACTGAGGGTCGATACCCGGCCCTAAATGTGCGCATTCACAACACAGAGAAAGTAAAGTATCGGTTTGTGTTGCGTGTGGATCAAATGTCTGAGGGTGGGCCCCTCAATGAACCTGATTTACAGTGTAATGGGGAGATGTCACACGGGGGAGGGTGTATGGACAGTCAAGATAAGCAAGAAAAATAAAGGTAGAAGGGCAGAGTGCAGATTTACGGCTAATTCACAGTATTCTAGGAAGTCCTCTGGGACCATGGAGGTCTCTGTCTGTCGTTTCCAACATCACTGGAGGGGGGAGGGGGGGTGATCTTTGAACAAGAGGCTGGACAATAAAGCACAAAGAGGAGTGTTGGTTAAAGCGTGAACATTCAGCGGCAGGCAGACACTAACACCCAACCTGAAATATGTCAAAAGAAAACTGACCACACGGTCATGATGGTTGTTTCTCACAGAGAAAATAACCAAAGGTCTTTCAGAACAGGACATGTCTCATGGAGGACGTTTATCTGAAGTGTAAAACCTGGGGCACTTCATGTTCAGGATGCAGGTCGAGGCAGAGAAGCATCTCTGCAAACCTGCGACTTGGAGTTCACCTCTACGGGCACCAGAAGCGCTCGCTCCGGTCCGTTTGTCACTGCGTCGCGGGGCGCGACGACACAGAATCATCTTTAGTTATTCAGTAAGAGCTTTTTTCTGTGTCTCCTAAAAAAAACCTACCACCTCCATCCTGTCATATGCTGTGACGTTTTAATTACTAATGCTTTAATATTAAGCAAATGTTTGAACTTTCAGGATATCCTACAATTTAAACCTAAAAGTTGGCAGAAATAACCTGGGGCGGTGCTTATATCCTACATTTTTTATATTCATTGCAAATAAATATTTTAGACAAAACCAATATGTTAATTTATTGCCGTTCCGATCCTTGCCGCTCCCTACTGCTCTCGTGCCCTCCTGCTCACCGCTGTGCGCCACGTAACGGAAGCTGCCGTCTTCCCATTTGCTGGCTTTGCTCCTGACGTGCTTGATCAAACACATCTGCATCCAGCGGAGGGTCCAACGTCAAGCCTCTCAGCGCCAGGGACGAGCCTGCCGACTCCACCTGCCGCTCTCCTCCCCAGTCTGTTGATTTAGTATCGCGGAGCCCCGAGGCGTACATTTTTTCCTTCTTTGTGGCGTCTTGACCCCCCCCCACGCCCTATCCCCCGTCACCCCAACCCAGCACCGCCCCGTGGCCCTGTCCGGAGGCCCTTGGCTGCGGCACCATGTTATTTACTGCCCAGAGAGCTCTGTGTGCAGAGAGTCAACACGGCATGGCTGGTTGAGCATGGGAGCGACCTGCAAACACCCTCACAGCACAGTCACATGACCATCCCACGGGGCTGGCAGAGGTGTTTACCCGCGCTACATTTACCACACACGGTACAATTGAGAGCCATGGACAGAGAGAGAGAGAGACAAACAGATACGGACAGACTAAAAAAGCCCGGCAACTACAACCTGCCTGTGGTTTCAAACTGTTACAAAAGGAGCACAGAAGTGAAGCTTTGGGTTTGACGAGGTGATGGAGCAAACACCCGTGAAGGCTGAAGTTCAAACTGACCAGACATGACAGCGTTCACTCAGGTGAACTTTACTTTGTTTTATGACAATACATCTTGAATATCTTAAGTTAAGTGAAAAGGTCTTGAAAACATCTAGTTTTGAGTCATATGTCATATGAAACAAGCTTTTTTGACTTTTGAAGAGATTTTAAGCTGCTGTGTTGGTTGCAAAAGATAAATCGTCTTGTTTCAGGAATTAGACTTTTTGGATTTTTTTGGAAGAAAATATATCTTGTTTAAAAGAAATCCTTAAGTTTCAACGGATTTGGACAAAAACTCAAAGTTCTGGAGTCTCTGCGGTTTGCCTTATGGTGATCACAAGACTAGGGATTCCCAGAATGTTGAACTATTCTTTCAATCAAGTTTTTCAGCATCCACAAAAATATTGGCTTGAGCTAGGTAGGGAACTTCTTCCTTATAAGATAAATAATGATCATTCCACTCATTTATAGAGAGAGGCTGGCATTCAAAACAATACAGTGAAGAATTTACTATGTAGATGTTTTTCACAAGTCCAAACTCTGGAGTACTATTGATGACACATACAAATCTCACATCTATACTTATTTCCATGTTGCATTATCCACTTTACCAAAACTATATGTTGAAGGTGCTGTATTTCTAAGAAGTCTTTAATCTTTCCTTCTACGTAGTGAATATTTTTAACCTCAGAGACTGGGCCCATATCAACTTCACTTGAAAAAAATGGATGTGTCTCATGCACATTCTGACTACATTCATGCATGCTCTTTAACAAAACCAGCATCTGCCCTGCTGACTGTTTCAGTTTATTGTCATTTGATGACAGTGTATTGACCGATATGGGGCAAGGCTTATCTCTTGCATCCAAAAGAGAGTATGGGAAACCAATAATTGCACTGTTGAATGCGTCTAACTCCATATGCCCTGAAAGCACAAGATGCTGTAAAACACATTTGATTTCATATGGGGCAACACCTTCAAGAATAATATGCATTATGTCTTGTGGAGTTTGATTGATTATATCAAAGTGATGAAATTCTGTTAATTTGCTTCTCCTATTAATACCATATGTCATTTTTAGATTTTCTTTCAGAAAGTCAGTGCTTGCTTTTTCAATGTCTCTACATTGTCGATATGACTTGTCATGGTCCTTTCAACAAACAAATCTTCATTCAATTGTTCCTACGTGTCGTCAAAGTTGCATTCACAGTGTCTGCATTTACTGTAAGCAAACCCTACTCCTTCCTTAAATCCAGCCACTTCATGTTGAGCTAGAGTGTCTCCACACACAGTCATAAGCGCCCAAAAAATTGTCTTCTCACCCTTTGCAGTAACAACTTTTAACACATCATACAGCTCAATCAAGTCACAATTAATGCTCTCAAGCACCTTATCAATACCACAATCAGAAATATCTTTTGATTTTACCATGGCAAGCAGACGAATGGCAGCAAGTCTTGATCTGTATTTAGGGTTGATGTTACCTAAGGTGTAATAAATCAATAACAATTTGTTTTTGTTTGCCCGAGATCCAAGAGGATTGCACAATTCAATTTCATTTGTATATGAAATGAATTGCAATGCTGTGGGAACTCTCAAAAACAGTGGGTGTGATTTAAAAATGTCTCCATCAATTAAATCGTGAAAAAATCCATCCGGGCATGGCTGTGGCCCCTGTTCAATTATTGCAAGAACTCTTGGATGCATTAACAGCTGTTCCAAACTTTTCAACAATGGTATATAATAAAAGTAATGGTGTTTAATGGTAAGAACTCTCATAACAAACCGTTTGACACTACATTTTTATATATAATCGTCTCTGGTTCAACTGGCTGTAACAGTTCGTTGATTGTCTTATCCTGCAAATGTGTTGTAGCGATTTGACTGAAAGGGTCATTAAACTGGTCAAATACTCCCATCACATCACTCTTCAGTTGACCAAGGTCCCCAGAATGTGTCTGAATCATGTTATGTTATGCACTCTATACTCACTAGGACAGCCATCAATGCCACACACCACGCGAAAGTCAGGGCTGCGACTGTGTAAAGAGTTGATGTGACTCAATGTTTTTCAGTGTAAACGCCACAAAAATATAGCATATGAAACAACGGCAGATCATCTTGGAGGAGCAAGGTTCCTAACGTTAAGGCGAGTGCAGCAAGCCAACACGTTATATCCAGCCCGGTAGAAATTACCGGTAGTTTATCTATTTTAAATGTGGGGTGTAAGTTCTTATTTAGTTATCTTTACAGAATAATTAATCTGAAATGGGCAACAATTTAGTCAAGCTATACACAATTATAACAAATATATATTTATACATTCTTAAAAACACCCCAAAACTAGTTGTTTTTAATTCATTTGAAAAAAAATAATTACTGCCATAAACCCCTGTTTTGTAAATGGTAGCAGTCTATGGCTCAGCAGTGGGAAGGCTGTCCCGCTATTTTACGTTAGGCCTCATTAAAGATTAAACAAATTTTCCGTCTGAAAAACAACGCGTTTTATTCAGAATCTAAGTGAGCATAATACATTCAGCCGTTCTTTAAAGAAGTGAGACATCACCTGTTTATCGTGTCTGTTGAAAGTTGGGCATGCGCAGTATGGAACACACACGGCTCACTGGAGGGAACGTTACAGTTCCGCAATAAAGCTGCCTCGTCCGAGACGGTTTGAATTCGTATTTCATTGCAGGTTAAGTTGTATCGAATATCTCAGTTTTTTTAATCCGATAAATTTTAAATATTATATTTAATATTATTTGTTGTGTGCACTGTTGCAGCCGAGCACGGTTAGCTAGCTAACTTGCTAGCTAACGTTAGCTAACTAACTTGCTAGCTAACGTTAGCTAACGTTATTTAACTTGCTAGCTAAAACTGCTAACAGCATGGACGAACTTGATGACGTCACGGTGTCGACTTTAAGAGGTAACGTAGTCAAATATACATTTTTAACGTGGTTATTAATTTTACGTCATATTTATTATGCACCAGTAACACCAAGACAAATCCCTAGTAAGTAAAAACCTACTTGGCAATACTTATGATTCAACAGAGAGGTTAAGATCAGCTAAATTTAAACATATTAAGACTTGCAGTCCTCTCTAAAATCGGTAACTCTTAATTCTGAACAAATTTGAATGAAATTGGTTTTATTATAAATTGGATAAATTGAACTTTATATTTGTTTCAATTAAATCCAGCTACTACTCCGTTCTATTATACTAAAACATTCTGAATAACCACAACTTAAAATGTATGCTTTTATGAGTTTCGAAAAAATGTAGATTGCTATATACATTCAGTAAATTTGAATTAAAATTGCTTCAGAATTAAGAGAGTTACGACCGATTAAAATGTTTAATTCACCACTCTGATGTGATGCACAGTCCACTGAGGTATGTCATTTCTTTATCCATTGTTAATGCACTAACTAGTTGGCGCTAGCCAGCTGTCTCATACAGTTTGGCTGTTCTATGGCACTAATTCATCCTGCAATGTATGCTTTACATTATGTCACAGCTGCAAATGTAAGTGAAGAAATGATCAGCTCTCTGTCTCGTGAAGACCTGCGGGACCTTTTCCCAGGGCCAGAGGAGTTCTTGCAACAAAAAGCGGTCTGGCAAATCTGTCATGGTGTTTCGGAAGAGGTCAGTTTCTTAATGATGCAGCATTAACTAGGTGGTTTTGGAACAGATATGTTAGCCTATAGGTGTATCCAATTGTTCTATCATGTTTATTTACATTTTTTGTTGATGAAGTAAGTTTATTCATTTTCTGCTTGTTTAGTAAGTATTCATATCAACACCATAAGGCAATCACTAAACCTACCTTTATTATCACTAAAAGGAGAATATTAACACAAACTATTTATTATTATTATTGTTATACCCTTAGTGGAGTTGTCAATGCTGCATCATAATTTGTGTTAAGACAGTATAAATTAAAAGTTGCTTTTACAAATACTTTTTGTTTTATTATCTTTTATTTTACAGGAAACTAGACTCAAAATCAACGAGCAGAAGTTTAATTCAATGAATGGGTCACCCCTACCTCAGACATCCACTCCAGTAAAAAGATGTCCTGCAAAGCACACACCTGAAAAGGTTGTTAAGTTATACTTCCCAGAATATGTATTGCACACTGACACCGAACTAGAGCAATGCCGAAAACAATATTTTGAGTTGGCGAAGACCGGTGAAGAGAGAAACTGCCAAATGTCAAAGGACCTCAGATGTCGGCTCATCCGAAACACCATGACCAGTATGATTGCAATCCTGAGGGCAACGGGGGACGGCGACAGATACCCGTCAAAGCCAGAAATAACAGCTATGGCAAAGCGAATAGTGCTGTACTACCCCATGCTGCAGGACCGAGACCTGAGCAGCAAGAATGCATGGGTAGGTCAAATGCATCCAGGTGCATGTTTGGTATTTGTTTGATGTTTGAAGCATTTATTTGAATTTTTCTTGTGATAGGTTACTGTGTACTCACAGCTATACAAAAGATTGCAAAATGTGAGATCACCCCAAAAGACCAATCCAAAGAGGCGCCGACTCGAGGAGCCAAAGTGCCAACCTGAGCTGCTAAGTGACCCAGATGAATATGATTCAAGTGACCCAACAGTCATTCTGGATCTCCCCTCAAAAGGGGGTAGCATTCAAGCATTCAAGACTGCCCATCTGAAGGGAGTAGCACCCCAGACTCAAGCAGCAATGCCAGATGTGAGTTCCAACATTACATTTACAAATTTACCATTGTGTAGTGTTCATATTTTACACTTCTTTTGTTTGGAAGACTAATAAACTGGAAGACTCAAACTAATTGCTACCATATTCTTTCTAAAGTTACTAATTTCTATGAATTAATGCCATGTATTTAATTATGTATATTTCTGTCCTTGCCGCTAAGATGCGGCATTGACACTCCAGACACTGACAGTCCAGCAACTATGGCCAAGCATTACAGAACCCTACAATCTTTGTGTAAGAAGAAAACTCCAAACCGTGAGTCCGTCTCTCAGCTTCTGGATTTGAAATCTTCAGCCAGAAGAGAATTCATTGACTCTGATTCTTTTTGCGAGGAGGACAGACACAAGAAAATTCTGGAGGACATTGGACATGTTAGTCATTATTGACTGAGCATAATTCAAAACAGGGCACCACACAAAACAATGTCTTGTATGCCAATTTCTGTCTCCTACCCAATGCAGTCAAATGTCTTTATTTGTATGTTGGATAGGTGATGGAGGAGCTTCAACGCATTCTGGACAAAAATAACATCTATTACATTGATGAGCTGAAGGGAAGATGGGACGACTTCTGCCAGAAGGTGCAGTTTTTTGGTGTGTGGAAAAAGCTGCTGAAACCCCCAGTAGGAATGGACAAAGGTAAGCAATGATGTTTGATGTTATTAGGGTGGACATTAGGCAGGTTTATGTGCTAGTGTCTTGTCTTCCTTATTTTCATCTGTGGTGGCTATCCCATGATTTGTGTAACTTTTTTTGTATTTTAGAAGATGTTGTAAACTGTTGGTCAGATTTGACCTTGTATTATCTAAGTGTAAAAGTAACACATATTATCCTCAACAGTTGAACAGGCTGTCAGTATCCTACGTGTGCTACCTTCATTGTTCCCCTCTTCATCTGCTCCTCTGAAGAAGTTAGGACATGTGAGTGAGGCTCTTGTGCATGTCCTCGAGGTAAGCAGAAATAAATGCACTACTTGGTTAATAGGTTTTATTGACCTAGTGAAGACCTAAAAAGACTGGCCTAGCCCAACAAATGTAAATACATTTATATAGATTCAAATACAGTGTGTTAAGCAACACAATTTTTTGCAGTAGACCCACAGACACATTTTGATATTCTTTATATCTGTTGTTCTAAAACTTCTTAGACAGTATGCCACCTCAGTAAATATTGGACTCCTCAAGTACCATTAAAATCACTGATGTAAAAGAAAACCATATCTCCCCCTCTGAATTTTTCTTTATCCTGATGGATGTGATTAAGGAAAAAGAAGACCCCAATGACTATTTGAAGAAACGTCGTCTCTCCTGCCCGGTCCTTATTGTGAGTTTGTCCAACTGCCTCCTGGCTGTAAGAGATGTGCCGATAACTACGCTCCCAAAAGACAAGGTTACACAGGGTGTTTTATACCTTGTGGCCTACTATTATGCTCTACACTAGTTGTGCCCAACCAGTCGATCGCGGTCTACCAGTCGATCGCAGGCTGAGTTGCAGTCGATCGCGAGAAATTTTTGACCCCAGGACATGAACATGAACATAACAGATAGGGATTTAAATGGATCCAAAGATTGTCCCATAATGCAATGCGCCTACCAGCGCACCCTAACGCACTACTGTAGCGACTCTTGATAATGGAACTCAAATCAAATTGATGATTTAACGGCCGGGGGGGGGGTGCAGACGAACACTGACGACGCGCTTTCTGCTCCGCTGATGGGAGCGCGCGGACGTATCCGCGCAGCGCGATACCGAGCGCGTTGTAAACATGTCCATGGACAGGAAAGGGAACCTTACATTACTGTTGTGTTCTGGCGCCCCTTTTTTTCAATGGTAGTCTTCCAATTTTTTTGGCGTGAGAAATCGGAGGTGTGGCGTGAGAGCGCGTGAACCCGATCAAATGCGTGGGTCTCACGGCCAATGCGTGAGAGTTGGCAGCCCAGGCTATGGGCAAAGACTGGGCGGAGCTTGAGAGTGCACGTTATGATGAGCAATCTTGCAGAGCATCTTGTCAGAATTTGACAGGCGCTTCACTGACTTTGCATCCATTGAGCCTGTTGTCAGCTTTCTCTGTTTTCCATTTGAGGAAAATGTAGATGGGATTGTATAACGTCCAAAGTGGCATCATTCTTCAACCTGGATAGCTGTGCTGTTGAGAATGAGATCCTCACACAGAAGAATGACATTGAGCTAAAATCCAGAGCAACACCTGGCATGAATGTCCAATTCTGGAATCTAATGCAGAAAGAGAAGTACCCTAACCTCAGACAAACTTCAGAGAATTTGACTGCACTTTTTGGATCAACATATTTGTGTGAGTCTGCCTTTTCACATATGAAAATCAAAATACAGATCCACCATGACTGATGACCACCTTGCAGTCTGCTCACGGCTGGCACTCAGCTCTTACTGTCCGGACTATGAGAGACTAGCTTCCTCCTCTCAGTGCCAGAAAAGGTAGAGAAATGCCACTTTTCCAACTTGAATTAGTTCTTATAAAAGTTCAAAGAATTAGGCATTGTATTATTTGGGTTGTTTGTCTGTCGTGTTGTTACGGCCAGTCCTAGGCCTACTTGTGCTTATTCTTTGCAAATTCACATTTACTTCAATAAATGTATTATGATTGTTAAAACTGTATCGATGTGTCAGAAAACAGTGTCCTATATAGTTGCGCAATAAATTGTGGCTACGCTACGGCTTTCGATATGGCTTGGTAGATCTCGATACACTATCAACTAAAAGTAGATCTTGGTTCAAAAAAGGTTGGGCACCCCTGCTCTACACCTTACTTACCCCAGGTGCGTAGCCACTCTGCTTTCTGTCATACAAACGGAGGTTCTCTTGGACACAATCCATGAGCGAGACCTCACACCATCTTTCAAGGGCATGGCTGACTGGAAAGCCTTTGTTGGCAAGTAAAGCCGTTTCCATTCTTATTTAGCAAATGTTTCCTAATGTTAAGGTCGCAATAATAACAATGTTGTTGATCTATCGAGGGACACAGTCGTCAAATATTTATGTTAATGTTAGCCCAAGACCCTTAACTTGTTGCAATAATAAGCACTTTGTAAGTGTATTGAGGAGACAGATGTCAGATGATCATGTCTGACTATAATCCATGTGTTACACATATATGCCATGTTTTGCTATGTTTTTTTTACTATTATTAGTATTTTATTACAGTGCCATACACACTGCGCCAAAACATGACTGGTCCTGCAGGCACAGTGTAACTGACTAACTGCACTGTATTGTAAGAATTGTTTGCTCCCTCCTGCATTTCAGAGCTGAAGAGGTGTGCTTTCTTATGCAAATAAAATATTTGTTTGTTTAATGCACAACTTGTTTTCATTGAAGTATGCGTTTGTCTTAAATTTAGAACAGTATCACTGCTGTAGTGCTAACATTAACTTAAATGCACAAGATTAATTATGCTACAAAAGCACTTCTTATGAGTAAAACAATGCATAATATGAGTATTTCCAGCTAACTTCAAGACATATTTTATCCTAAAATGCTTAAATAATCACTTTCTAATCTTATTTCAAGTTGGTGGTGGTCTAAAATCTAGGACAATGTCAATATTTTAGAACTTTAAATGAGTTAAATACACTTGAAATAAGGGGGATGCCATGAACAGTGAAAAAACAAAAAGCTACTTTTGAGCATTACAAGCTTATAATGATACACAACACTTTCTAATACTAGTAAAATATAGCTCAAAATAAGTTTTCCTGGCTAATTTCAAGATCACTTTTATCTCAAAAGTCCTAAATATTACATCTTATTTCAAGAAATCTTGACACGCTGATTTTCACTAGTTCCATTGGCAGATTATTACGTCTCGTATTTGTTGTTTTTTTACTTATTTTTGGAGGGGCATTTTTTCCAGTGCGGACTATTCTAGAAAGAGAGGCGAGCCTATCTGTGTGTGCGAGCAGTAAAAATAACACGGCACGACGACTCTCGGAGCACACTCCCGCTCTCTCTCTCTCTCCGTCTCTCTCTGTCTCCATGCCGAACAGGCTCATTCGTGTGATAGAAACTGAGAAATATCCAGGCAATGGAGAGAGAGAGAATAAGTGCTAACCAAAAAAGGCCGGAAAGAACGCCGAAAGTTTTATAATGCATTCAGATGGCTGGCAGCCAGATCGCCGCTTTAGCGATAGTATCTTTAGCGTTTATCAACACACCTTATGCCACCACTTCTCTGCAACTGCAGAAAACATGCTGGGTTTGTCGGTCATTCAGCGGTTTAAGGGAACAAAAGTCACTATCGGCACCTGGCACGGTTAAATGTGCAAACAAGGATGACCAAGAGCAGGAACTTAGGACCGAAAAAAAGGCAAAAAAAAACAACGGGATTGCTGGAATCCATTGTTAGAGAAAGCTATGACATATGCTTAAGGAGCAGCAGGAGAAAGTCTGCACTTGTCCCAACTAAACATTTACACAAAAAGCTCTCTGACTAACACTGGGAGTGCTCCGAACACGAGGAGGAAAAAAAAAATCACTGAATACAAGTGAAAAAACACTACTCCCCCAGGTGGAGTTTCACCCAAACAGGTTTGGGGTCTTGTTCTTTTTCTTCTTTTTCATACATACTTTTTTAAAGTACAAAACAGTGTCGCTTCCCCCAAAGACGCCAACGAAAGAGATCCTCTTTGTTTTCTCTGACACTCACAACAAAAAAATACCCCCATCAAGCCGACTCTTGTAACAGCTCTCTCAACACGCAGGCTGGAACACACAGCGAAGCCGAAGACAGATGAGCAGACTTCAGAGAAACTTCCCGACGCTGACGTTCAAACAGGCAAAGGACACACGCACGCAATCTGCCAACGGAAGCTCACCGACTGAGAGGTTGTTGGTGTTTCTCCTTCTCTTCTGTCTGCCTTCTTATTCAATCCCGTCTCTTCTCCTCCGTGCTCCGGGGGGAAATCCTTCACTTCTGACAGAGCAGAAGAGCCAGTTGGCTGCTGTGCGAGTCAGCGAGAGGGCGCGCACGTGTGTGTGTGTGTGAGAGAGTCCAGAGTCCTGAGGTCAGAGGCGGTCTGACTTGGTCACGGAGGGACATAAAGGATGCGGCGACTTCTGCTCTGCGTTCTCCTCGCTCGCCGCCTCAGGAATGCACTTCTCCTGGGTGTCCTCGCCACAGCCGAGATCTGAGGGACTGCTAGCGATCTTTCTCTCTCTCTCTCTCACTCTCTCTCCCCCCTCTCTCTCTCTCTCTGTCTCCACCCCTCCTCCTTGTCTCTGTCTCTCACCCACACAGAAACACCAGTCACTCCTCTCTCACTCGTGCTCTCCCCACCCTGCCTCGTCGCGCTGACGGATCAGGAACCTCCCCCTTTCTCAGGTGCTTGTTTTCCGCTTCTGTCGTCCTCTCTGCGCTCGACACCCTCTGATGACATAAAGTGCTGCTCTTAGCAGCGCGATACGAGAGATAAGAGCAGAATAAACTTCTTTGCATGCGAGTTTGCACCATATGCGGCCCGAGGCAGCAGACATCCACCCGGTGGCCTTCAGTCACATGAACAGCTGGTTACACAAATGAGTCAGGTGATTCTCTTCCTTTTCCTGGAATGAGGTCATAGTCCGGCAGATCAGGTGCAGGTACAGAGAGTCTGCGCGTATGTGTGTTTGAGCTGGACAAAAACCTGTGGGGAAAATCAGGAGCCGACGCAACATAATTTCTGACACGGCTGATCAATTATTGTCCACTAATACAATTAAATCTTGAAAACAGTGGCACAATCCCAAACCTTCCGTTCTCCTCAGCTCGCTCCCACACACAAACACGGGGCCAACACATGCGTGACCAATGCGTCAGCCTGAATGAGCTGGAGCCTCTCAGCGTGATCCGACACCCTCTGTCATCACATGTCCCGAAATCTCACATTTCACCCGTTATTGGACTAAAGACTGGCCACTGAAAACAGACCAGATACCAATCACATCTCCTAAATGTAAAAAATAAAAGTTAGAATGTACTCTCACTACAGTAAAAAGTTATTATTATAGTTATTTTTTCATAACTGGATTAAGCATAGAAAAATATAAAATCATAAATAAGCATGATAACAGCTGTTACCGGAATAATGTTTGTTTACAAAATGAACATGGTTGTGAGTTATATAAGAATCTTTCAAAGACGATACCACCATAAGTTGGGTATGAAATATTATTGGCACTCATCTGTGATGAGCCAATACCGGCAGTCACTTTCACCCAAAATGTACACGTCTTTGTGGTTCATTTGGCCTTTGCCCTGAAACCAAGAGTAATTATTTCCAAGAACTGTTGGCCATCGAACCGTTCCCTTAATTAGTTTTTCCTATTTTTCTGAGTTGAGCGGAGGACAGAGAGGCCTCCTGAGGCAATGGCACCAGTGGCGAGAGTGAGAAAAGGCTGAGGTGCCAAGGATGAGTGACAGCAGAGTGTATAAGTACACTATATGGATCCTGACTGACCGTTACCAAACGCTGGTGGTGCGCTTGCCGATTTCGGGTTAACGAGTGGTGAGTCATCGTTCAATGTTTGGGAGTCTGAAGGTGGGATCACGACGGGGCTGAAATCTGAGGGGTGGGTGAGGGTATTCCAATGTGGTTGCGGAGGATTATCCTCCGAGACCTCTCTGACACCTTCCAGGCATTCCTCAGGGCACCTCCCATCCCTGTGCCTCCCTCATCCCACCCTCCCCTGTCAAGCCCCACATTTCAGCCCTCTTTTTCTCTCTGACTCAAACATTCTTTCAACCCTCTTCCTCCTCCTCCTCCTCCTCCTCCTCAACCCTCCCTGTGCTTTCAGCAAAGAAAGCTAAAGAAAACAAAGACAATGTCTAAAAAGCGTTTGAAAAACGGCGCTTTAAGAAGAATTCTCCTCAAACTTTATACGCGTTTATCATTTGTCTTCGCCATGTGAGGGCCGAGGACGCACTTCACTCAAAACCCCCCAATAGCTTTTTTGACTGCATTCAATCTGCACCAAATACGTTAATCCATCAAGTTCTTGATAGGAGACATACATTTGTTGAAAAACAAGGGAGCTTTCATAACTCAACTCAGGCAGGACAGGGAGATGGCTCCCGGGCTGAGAAATAGGCCGGGCGGTTTTGGCAGCAGTTCAATATGTTCTGTGGAGGGGAGCAGATTGAGGGCAATACATGCTGATACATGCTGATTGTTGGCCGTTATTCATCAAGAATGAATAGCATTAAGTTCCTGCCACTGCTCAAGCCTTCCCGTCCTGCCCCGATAAAACCCTCTACCCCCTTCTTCTCTCTCTGCGTATTCAGCCCTTCACCAAAGACAGACTTCGACAGGTGGACAACGGAGGAGTGGAATGAGAGCACACAACGCCGCCTCTATTTTCAGAAGCCCAAACAAGCCACAAAAGTTGGTCTTCATACTCAAGGCGAGCAACGCATGCCGTGTTTTTTGCCAAGTATAGCACGGCTGTGTCATTGTGGTCCGGACAGCGATGCTGCGCCAGTTGTGAGGCCATGTCTTGTGTATCATTATGACAGGCACGATGGCTTTCACCAGTAAAGGTAATTGCCCCGTTGAGACGTAAATACAGCCCGTGCAACGCCAAGAACAGACAAAGACTTTTGTTTTCATCCAAGATGAAACCCGGCTCAGAAGATGATTCATGTTTTGGAGGCAAATGCATGCCACTATATCATCGCCTTGCAAACGACAACAACTGCGTTGAAAATACATTGCCACGGTGAACCGGAGGACAAAGGAGAGTAAAAAGCGGAGGGAGGGGGATCAACACACATATACTGCAAGTAAAACAACTTTGCAGCCCCCCCTCCCAGAACACAGATTTCCTTCTCTTTTCCACTCTTCACTTAGCAGCTTTCAAGTTGTCAAGACTTTGGCCGCACCTTATTTTATTCTGAGCCGGTCCAGACTGGCTCGGGGCTGAGTTACCACCATTCAAAAAGCAGTTCTACCTATGACATGCACGGCAGTTACATTTTTTGAGGGGCTATATGAAAAGCTATTTTTGGAGAGGAAATTAATTTGGGCATAATAAAAAGCCGCAACACAGGTTTAACAACAAGGCTTAAAATGTCAACCAGAAGGTTCCCGCCACCGGCATCAGGTCCCGGCTAAGCGGAGGACCCGACCCACAGCCTACAACTCTGTGTGCACCGAGAGAGCAAGGAAACAAAGAGCAGGCTGGATGAGATATTGGCCTGCGTGGGGGTTGGAACGGCTGATTTAATGATGATCCCGGTTAAAAAAAACAAAAAGCCACTGGAGGAGGGGGTGCAGTGGATGCACAGGAAATGCTCAGCTACAGGGGAGCTATTAGGTCGGAGCAGGTCAGGGCTCAGAGGTGAACAAAAGCTTGGTAAGCCCCCCCAAAGCGAGGTAGAGGCCCGCTGGATGCACCACTGACGCCTAGCCGGTCCGTCTACACGCCTGCGTGTGGAGGTTGTTTGTCTGACAATATTTTCTAACATCTGTTTGTCGAGTCTAAATTCCACTTGTCCTCCATACAGACAGACAAGAAGATGTCGCTCCCACCTTTCTGTCCATTTAGTCCAAACACTGTTTACAATACTGTTCTGTTCCACTCTCGGTGTCTAGGGGAAAGGCCTCTCCGAACACCTGCAGGAAAAACAGCATTTAAAAGCTTTCGCTGCAGCCCCGCTGTCATCTCTTCCCTTTAGTGGCTCTACTGGATCAAAGGAAAAGCTGTAGCCGTGTATGGTAGGGAAGTCTTTTGTAGCTACAATTACGGTCTATAAGCACACGCATGACACCAGTGCATAATAAAGTTCTGTAATCCCACCACACTCATTTTGATTGGAAACGGAGGATTTATGCAAGGAGGTCTTCATGTGCAGCCACTTGAAGACCTGTTGAATTATAACAACGCCGGTGAGATTGCCATCGCCATCTTTTTCTTCTTTTCTTCGCCATCAGGGTAGTAGAGGGTCTGAGGATGTGCATGTGCATGCGACTGAATAAATTACGTCTGTGTGTGTGTGTGTGTGTGTGTGTGTGGCGGTGGACATGCCAAATGCCTAATCAGAGCTTAGATAACGGCCATATGTGTGCAAGTCCGTGCATCTCACCCACACATCTCCCACAGCAGGAATGTTAGTACTGTTGGGTCAGCAGCGGTGACATCATGGCAACAACAAGGCCGCGTGCGGGAGTGCGAGTGCGGCTGTGCGAAGGATCCTTCAGGATCCATCAGATAAAGTGCACCTAAAGAAGGGAGGGAGAGGGGGCGGGGAGCCCATTTTGCTGTCAGCGTGGTTACATGGATTCGAATAACTGGCTTAGTCGGACTGAAATCGAATTATCTGTTTCATGTAAACACCTTTGTCCGACTATGTGCGGTCCGATTACGATCCGACTAACACCCCTGGATAACTCCATCCGATCCAGTTGATAGTTCGACCATTGCGGCATGTAACGGTGAATCGGATAAGGAACTGGACTTTGCGTCTTTGCGCATGCTTGAGATCCCGGCGGCGTCTTCTCTCCGTTATCAAATCAGCCAATAGCGCCATTCGCATTCGCTGTGCTCCTATTAACATCATGCAAAGATAGTAGAGGGACGTAGCTTCACCTTGCTCTCCGTTCGCCATCTTTCTCGTAACGTTGATGTTGTTGTTGTTGGTTGTTGTTGGTAGTGGTGAAGCGGTCAAGCGGAAATGGGTGTATAACTAGTTGTAATGAAAACAGCGCCACCTATCGTATTGGATATGACATGTTTTCGGCCAATGATTCGATTTATTCACTGCCATGTATATTGGGATAATGGCACCGCCCCCCGAAAGACAACATAGTCCGACTACGCAAAGATTCCAATTATACCACCATGTAAACACACTGAGTGTTGCCACGGTAACCCAATACAGACGAGACCACCTGGTCGGCGGTGGAAGCCAACAAGGGTTGCAGAGAAGGGGGCAACACTTCAGGAGCGTAACCATGCCAGACAATCCCCACAAAGTGGCCTGATTCCCGCACACAACCCACGCTGTGTTTGTGCGAGCGGAGCAGCTGTTGAATCTTTCATGGAACATAAGAAAAGGAACTAAGCCTACTGCGCAGCTCCTGTTACGGATGAGACATAGCTCTGGCACATCCCGGCCGAGTTATCCACACATGGTTTAAGCTTCGTTCCATCCTCTTGGACACTTAAAAGGCCACGCCGAGGCAGTGTGGCGCCTTAC